AAAAAACTAATCTCACTTGTAGTGTTAGAGTGATGTTGTAGTTGTGATGGCCCAGGAATTATGCAAGAGGCAAGGATTGCTTAGGGCAATATCTTTTATTGGACCAACTGTGTAGTTGGGACAGAGATAGACAAAATTTCCACCACGAGACAGTCTTCTTCAGGTCTGATGTCCACTTGTAGTCATTATAGATGGCTGAAAGCTAATGCAGGTGTTGAGCAACCATGTAGTAGTATTTAGCATACAGCCAGTGCATGGTGCTTGTGACAGAGGGGTGCATAATCCTGGAGCTGGGTAAAAACCTGAAAAAGTATTGTGGTTATTTTTGGGTCCATATTAGAAAGTCACATGATGCAGGAGCAAACTCTGGCTTCCTTACTACATTCTCCTTTCCCAATACACCGTTCTGTAGTAATGTCACTTAGAGATGATTAATATTATAGTATTTTGGACCATTATTGCAGAAGATAACTTTCTACAAAGGTGAATACAAATATATTGATACTGTGTGGCTGATACTGACATACATTGAGTTTTGAAGCATTCTTATGGAATTCTGGGAAAATATCAGCAGTTTTTAAAATTTGTATGACGTTCTTTCCTTTGTAGGATTTAAATGTGGATGAATTTGAAGAAATATTTAAGACAAAAGCACAAGGGCCAGCTATTGATCTTTCGTCAAGCAAGCAAAAGATCACTCAAAAAGGGTCAAACAAGGTCACGTTATTGGATGCAAATAGGGCTAAAAATCTTGCCATCACTTTAAGAAAAGCTGGAAAGACAGCAGATGAAATATGCAAAGCTATTCATGTGTAAGTAAAAAATTGTCAGTGGAGAAATCGTATATAAGATTTATACTATCTTTTGCTAAGTGTAAAATTTTGTGAATATAATTCTGTATTGGCAGATAATGTAAAGGGTTTTGCAGTTGGCAATAATCCAAGAGTAAGGATAGAACCATTCTGAGTCCCTACAAATTACTGGCGTGCTGTTACAAAAATGTGTCAATTTGCAGTTTTAGGTTATGTTATTACTATACAAGGCAATAAAAATTATCAGGGCCCTTCTTTATAAAAACTAGTTAATTTTTTCCAAGGCATGCCATAAGTGGATTAATTTTTTATCTTAGTTATGCAACTACAATTTAAAAGAAATCCTGAAACATTTATATGGTAAATATTAGGAGTAGGTGAATAGTTTAGTTTGCTCCATCATTTTTTAATGTATTCCAACTGTACTGAATGCAATTTAGATGATATTATGTTTATGTAATGCTTATACATGATGCCAAATGCAAATATGATACAGGTGTATACTACAAATCTTAACTGAAGGAATGCAATTTGGGGTCCTGCCTTCTTCAGATCCATCATTTTTCAACTTCTTTAGTCTTTGGAACTTATCATATGTAATTACTTGCCTGTCAAAGCCAACATTTTTTTTCATGATCAAATACTGATGTGTCTGATATTATTACATTTTCCTGTATAAGTCTAGAAAGAATTAGTATTTGTGGCCACAATGAGCATCTAAAAATTGTTAAATGATGACACTTCAAATGGAGGTTTGGATCGTCAGATGTACATAGTGTTTCACCAAGTTAGAAGAGTGAACCAAACATAATCTAGGAGGCTCTAGAGCAGGGGTAGGGCAATTCTTTGGTCCTGGGGGCCACATGGGGAGTTTTGATGAGTTGTTGCAGGCTGCGTCAGCACCCCACCCCCACCACAACTCACTGGAGTGGTGCAGCAGGAGGAGGAGCTGCTGCTGGAGGCGAGGGGAGCTGAGCCGTACCTGGGCAGCTGCAGCTGCACTAGGAGCAGCCCCTCCAGTAAGCTGTGTGCACTGGCCAGTGGACTGGAGCACAGCGCAGGCTGCCCCAGGTGGGGCTCAGCCCCATGTGGTGTTCTGCAGGGGCAGCCGTGGGCCGGATTCAATTAGTTGGTGGGCTGGATCCAGCCCTTGAGCTGTATTTTACCCACCCCTACTCTAGAGCAGTGGTTTCTCAACCTTTTTTCTACCGGCGCCCATTTGCAAAGGTTCACGGCCTGTCCCGACCCACACCTCCTGGCCCTGCCGGTGGTGCATGACCCACAGTCCCCCTGGGCCATGCTGGTGTCCCTCACTCCCAACCCACAACTCGCTGCCCCCTTCCTGCTCGGGCCATTGTGCAGTGGCTGCAGTGGCTCTGGCTCATATGGGCTGCAGCAGAGTGAGTCCAGCCCTGGCATGGACAGGAGGGAGGAGGAGGGAGGCCTGTGGCAGCCTCCACCCTGGGCTGGGGCTGCTGTGCCACGGCAGGCAGCCTGGTCACAGCCCCTCTCGCCCCAGAGCAGTGTCTCCTGGCTGCTCCGCCCTCATGAACACCCAGCCCAGCCTCGCAGCTCTCCCCCTGCCCTTTCCCCTGCTGGTAGGGGCAGGTGCCTTTCTGCTGCCATTTTGCCCTGCCGTAGTCTTAGTGCTTTCCCAGGATCAGCATTTCTCAACCCATGGCTTGCGACCCTCTGAAATCTTCTTGTGATCCAATTTTGGGTCAGGACCCATGGGTTGAGAAACACTGCTCTAGAGGCTTCAACAAAAACAGGGGAGGGATAGTCATTTACACATGCAGCTTGATTGGCAATTAACTGAATTAGCCATTGTCCCAGGGGAACAAGTGTTACTGCGATACTTCACAGGTATTTAAAGCAGGACAGTGGGTTTGTGTGTCTGTAGGGTCACAGAAAAAAAGCTTTGTTCCAAGAGAAAATCCTACTGTTTTCTGTGTCTTTTAAATAAGACTAATGGTTCCCCCTCATCTGATATATTTAGTCAAATCATCTCTATTTTTACCTGATAGTCTTCCCTCATTCAGCCACTAGCAGTTCAGCTCCTTTCTTGGCAGCTCTGTGTTCTGCTTGGTCAACTTTTTCCTTATTCCCACTTGCTCTTGCAAGTTTTTGTGCTTGTACATCAGAATAGCAAGAAAAAAAGCTTACTTTAGACTTCAAGTGAGAATATAGAGACTCATAAATAAACATCAGGAGGATTGTGAATTACCTGAAGTTGTCTCCTCCTCTGCACCACTCCTTTACATATAAATGTTTGGAATAATGGGCATATCTGGGATAACAGACATGTTTAAGATGACACAAGTGTCAGTATGAACTTCATCAGTCCAATGATATAATTAGTCACATATTCTGTCCACCTTCACCTCACCCTCCCTAGACTCACTCTTGCTGCTGGTCAGGAATAACATGACAGTCAGAGGATAGCATTCATAAATTGAATTGATAAATTATTTAGTTGATCTCTTCGTCACTTGACTCTTGAAGCTCTCTGCACATGTACTTTGCAGAATTGAGCCCCACAGCCATGTTGAGCTAGAATAAAATTGTGGCCAATGCTTTCCACTTACATAGTGAATGAAGTTAGTTAAAATCAGGTACTCCCAATCTAGCAGGAAGGGAAGGAAGGAAGGAAGGAATAATGGATCCCACCCATTTGAATAGTGATCCTGGGGGTGGGAAGCAAGATGGATAGGTTTTGCCAAAGCAAAGCCTTCTGTCATCTTAGATAAGTCTCTCTTGTAGCACCAACTTTTATGTTTGTCATTATGTAGATTTGACTTGAAGACGTTGCCAGTTGATTTTGTTGAATGCTTGATGCGATTCTTACCCACTGAGAACGAAGTGAAAGTGTTACGGCTCTATGAGCGGGAAAGGAAACCTATTGAGAATCTGTCTGATGAAGATCGGTTTATGATGCAGTTCAGTAAGATAGAGCGGCTAATGCAGAAGATGACTATCATGGCCTTCATAGGCAACTTTGCAGAAAGTATCCAGATGCTGACACCAGTAAGTGAGACAGCTTATAGAACTTAGTATCTGATGAAGTAAGCTGCTGCATACAAAGACTTATGCATCTCTGATCTAGTTAGTGCCTTCTGTACAACTTGCAGTTATCCAGAGATGAAATCAGAATTGACCTATAAAATGTGCTGAGATTAGGATTTCCTAATAAAAATCCTGAGTCCCCCCCCTGTCTTTCCACACTCTATATCACTTTTTAAAAGATATCGAACTTTTTGTGTTTTTTCACCATTGCTCGCCAGCTCTAGTTGCTCAGAAAAAGTTCACTGGAAAATATTTTAAAAGAAAATGAGAGAAAATGTCTTATATTTTTCAGACCAGTCTACTTCTACTGTAGGTTTAAGAATGTAATTACAGTAATCACAGCTGAGGTGGTTAAAATGCTCTTTTCTTGGGCTCTACACACTCATCTGCAACAATTTTCACTAGGTTAGCTCTATGAATCGAACTGATACAAAGTTTAAGTGATATATTTCTAGAGAAGCACTTAACATCCTGATGCCCTTTTTACAGAGCCAGTAGAGACTGTTATAGATAAAAGCTTTGAATAGAAGAAAGGAGAGAAAAGGAATAATCAAAGAGAGCAATTTTTTGCTCTGATCACAATTAAATGTTGTTATTACAATACTGCCAAGTGCTGTAAGTCACGGGTAGGGCCCCAGAATAGATCTCCCATTAGAATGAAATGACCATAGCACAAAACTGACTACAGCATTTGTTTAATGGGCTACATTTTTGTTTTCAGAGACAGTTATCCTAAGGTACACCTGCAGCACGTGTACATAGGACTGTTGTGCTTGCAGAATCCATGGGTGTGTGTATGGATGTAGGCTCAGGTTTATAAAGACATTGGGACACAGGTGATTAAAATAGAAATTGTATTGTTTGAATCATTAGTTGAAATCAAGCAAACATTGTTTCATATTTTTGCTTCTCTGAATGTATTCAATGTAGTACATTTTTCATAATCTCAAAGATCATGGCTTTATAGAGTCATATTTGTAGTTTATTACACCATGTTAAACCTGCAGTGCAGAGCAACTTGAAATCCATAGATGGAGGGAAGGAGAAATTCTGTGTTTAGATATTTCTGAGCAGGACTGAAAACAGAGTTTTCCAGTATTTGACTGTTCAGACATTTATTGTATGGCTAAGTTACATGTACTAACTATACTCTTTTATTTGCCTTTAGCAACTACATGCAATAATAGCTGCATCTGTCTCAATAAAGTCGTCCCAAAAGCTCAAAAAAATACTGGAGGTAAGCATGATTTTATTTCAACAAATGCCTTTAACAGTAAATGTATATTAATAAATAACAGTCCTCGTGTACTGAAATGTACCTGCATTTTTACAATCAAAACTTACCTTCCCAAGTTAACAGTGTCATGCATATGTATTCATATTAACTCTTTCTGTTCCTCTGGTAGATAATCTTGGCCCTTGGTAACTACATGAACAGCAGTAAAAGAGGAGCAGTTTATGGATTTAAACTACAGAGTTTAGATTTGGTAAGGAGCCGGGGGTGGGGGGAAGCAACCTTGCTAAGACCTAAATTTGGGTGGGAGGATGCTTACTACTCTTTTCTTCTTTGCAACCCAGCACACAAAATAGTGTTAGTGGCAGTTTTGCAATAGACTGTACGTGCTGTTGTGTTAACTGCTGACTTTCAGCTAGCCTGCCCTTCTGGGTACGTGGGGTCTAAAAATGGAATAAAGATGGAAGGTATACAGGAGCTCCTGGGGGGTTGGGGAGGTGCGGGTTTGAATGCCTTGGATCAGTGATGACCAACCTTTTGCCCCCAAGGGCCTGATCTGGCACATGAGGTCAGAGCCCGAATTGGTGTAGGACCAGATTAGGCCCACAGCCCTAGCCCCTCATGCCAGATCATTCCTGTGGCCCTGGCCCTGTGCACAGGGTCATATCATCTGACCTTCAAGGCTTGGAAATCTGGCAGCAGAGAAGTCAGGGCAGCATTATTTGCCACCACTCCCCACCACCAAATTTCCAGACCCATGAGGAGCCCTGAAGACCTCATGGCATGATTCCATGGGCCGGACCTCACCCGTTTTGAGCATCGTAGCCTTGGGCTGCTAAAGCCTAGCAGGCTCATCTAAACTCCAGCTCACAGCTTGAGACAATTATTGTGCTGCTTAACAGATGCTTAAGACTGTGACAACAGGTCAAGATGAGTGTGCATGGCTGGAGCTAGTGGAGAAAAAGTCACACAGCATGCAATAGTCTGACTTCAGCTAGTCTCTCATCTTTCCAGAGTACTATAGGCAATTCTAGTCAGCTTTTAAAACAATGGGAGAAAGATAGCTCAGTATCGATTCAGTCAACTACTAATTTATGATTTGGCCCTTATTACATCTTAATCCAACGCTTCATTTGCTTCCAGCTATTAGAAACAAAGTCAACAGACAGAAAACAAACATTGTTGCACTATATATCCAATGTTGTGAAAGAGAAGTATCAACATGTATCCCTCTTTTACAATGAACTTCATTATGTGGAGAAAGCAGCTGCAGGTACTGTAACCAACATACTAATAGGGGAACATGAACTGGGTTCTGCCATCTATTGCCATTCTATCTCAGGAACCATCTAAAGGAAGATAAGCAGTTTATTTTGTATGGAAATTAGCCTTGTGATAAAGCCACTCTGTAAGATGCATAGTAGCTGGTACCGGAAGAAGGTTGGATAAATAAGAACGTGTGCCTAGATTCCTGCAAAAAACAAACAAACCAACCAAAAACAACTCTTCTAATAAATGGTGTCTATTTTTCTTTTTGTTTTGTCATACCTCCTGTGTGCCCTTGCCATGGGCCAGGACTCCAGCGTGTTAGGCACTGTACAGACACAGAGCACAAAGGCTAGCTTTGCCGCAAAGAGCTTATTGTCCAAGTAGTTTGCAGTGGAAGTTGAATCTTCTCATAAAAAAAAATACACTAGACCACATGGACTGACTCAGTGACAGTTTAAATTAGAATAGTTACATAGTTAAAAGAATACGAAGGTAAAAGACTGCAGATGGAAATCAGTATCAGCATTACAAGCACATTTAGTAAGTGTGTGTTAGCTCTCCACAATGGTGTCTCATGCTTTCGTCGGGTCCTTGAGGTTTGCCATCACAAAAACGAGACAGCTATTAAGGACTAAGAAATGTCATTAGACACCATTTTGTAAGGATTGTAAATTAAAGGCGCTTGCAGGTGAATGGAAGAAAATGAAGAGAGTGGCACCAGATGAAGACTCTTTGTATAATAACTGTTTCTAAATCAGTGATTATTGATCAGACTTTTGCAGTTCTTAGTTGCTAGACCACTTCTGTGTTAAAAAAAATACAGTCGATACAAATGCTGCATATGAAATTATTAAACATCTCTTTGGTCTGGTCTTAAAGATATTAAACATATCTTTGGTGGACAGTATTTGTTTTGCATCCTTCCCTTTTATTTGAATAGCTGTCACAGGATTGGCATCAGAAATACAGTTGGTGAATATAGTGTACAGGTTTCCCTCGCTTTATGCGGGTTCTGTATGTGCGAGGTTTGCTCTTATGCAATGACCCTTTTTATACCAAAATTTTGTTATATGCAAGGTAAATTCACTCTTATGTGATCGGTGTGGTGGAAGCCTGCAGTCAGCTACTTTGTGCGGTGCATTGTGGGAGTGATGCACACCAAAATATAGGTTTTTGTGTGGATCTGTGCTCCTCGCTTGTTGTCTGTGACACGTGTTTCTGTGGTTGCCATCCCTTTATGGCTTCTAAGTGTCCTGCTAGCTTATCTCCAACCCTCTCCCTGATCCATCAATAAACTCTTCACACCAACTAAACATTCACCACCACCCTGTGCTTGTGTGTATTGTCTGCTGTTGGTGAGTACCAAAATTGTCTTGTAAAAGCGGTTCATATGGGTCTGGGGGTCAGTACAGTCAAGGTCTTGGAACATATCCCTATTTGTAAAATGGGTTCCCTTTATGCGATTTGAGTTATTCGCCATTTGCATGTACAGAATAAAGCAAGGGAAACCTGTAATCGATTTTGCAAATATTCCTTCACATTTTCAGGTTGATTGTGTTTGCACCAGTCTGAGTTTGATAAAATGTAAATAACGAATGTGTTTAAGGAAGCTGTAACTATGAGTGGCTATTTCAGTAATTCAGAAAAAAACCTTTTTTTAAAAATAAACTTTCATGATGTCAGTTTTTAAATAACTGATTTTCTCAGTTTCTTATACTTATGGTAAGACCTTCATTTGTAAGCTAGAGCCCACTTTAGCCCTCAGTAGACTCAAGGAAGCTGCATTCTTTAACTGCATTGGTGGGTACATTGTGTGTTGTGTACTTATCAAGCACTACAGATGAGACAGCCCTAGGCAAGAATGTCTGACTGTCGGACATTTCTGTTACAAACCATCACTGCAGCAACACATTAGTGAATTCTGTGTCTGAGATGCATGACTATGTTGATGAAGAATTTTGTGCAGGTTCCATGTTACTTAATATTTATGAATAGTTACCATGTGTGCAAACCTGTTCTGTGGCCTGATTCTTACTGACCTCATTTGGAAGTTAGAGTGTAAGCAGACATGTCTCCACATGTGCATTTAATGCGCATCAGCCCAATTTTAAGGCACATTAAGGGCCTGTGTCTACATGTGCGTACCCTTAATGCAACTTAAAAATGGCAATCATAGGCTATTTGAGCCGAAATTTGATACCTGCGTAAAGCAGGTATTAGATTTACGCGCGAACAGTTAAATCACATTAGCAAATTTGTAGACGCACTAAAGTGAACTAACATGGTGTGTGTCCATTGACTTGGGACTAACATTAGTCCCAGCACACCCGTGTTAATACACATTAGAATGTGCACCTGTGGACGCGTGCCTAAATCGCCTTAATGTACATTAGTTTCATGCACATTAATTTTAGATGTATCTAAAAGCATGTGTAGACATGCCTAGCATGTAGCAGATTGTTGTTACTCTTACTGCACTGGTAAGTTAGCATTTTTGTTTGCATCTTAGTGTCACTTGAAAATGTCCTGCTGGATGTAAAGGAACTCCAGAGAGGCCTGGAACTGACCAAGCGAGAATACACTATGCATGACCACAATACTATGCTGAAGGAATTTATTCAAAACAATGAAGGAAAACTAAAGAAACTGCAAGATGATGCAAAAATAGCACAGGTATTTTTTTAATCACAATTCTTGCCAAAGTGATTTAGAGACCAAGCAGGAAGAAGCTGAACCAGAGGTATTTCTCTTTGTTCAGTGTGATTTAGTCTTCAGCTAGCAGTGGCATAGATGAAGAGGTTCAGGATCAGCAGAGTTCTTGGTTAGTTAGGCCAGGTATAGACATTACCACTTTTACTGGCATCAGTGATCGGAAACCTATCTATATCCCTAACAGAACTGAAATTCAGCACACAGACTGGTTTAATGGTGGTGGAACCCAGTCTAAGATTTGTCGTATCTTGCCCCCTGGCCTCCCCCAGCTAATCTGTGTTCTGTTCACTACTGATCTAAACTGCACTGCTACTATTATTTTGGAGATCCCAAAAGATTAGCCAGAATGTTGTTATTCAGGTGAAAAAAACAGGAGTAAAATTAGTTTGACTAACAAATTAGCAGATCAAAACAAAACTCTGTAGTATCACTGAACCATTAAAATTGGAGATGGGGAAAAAACCTGTTCTGTCCCACTGCCTGTGCTGGATGGATAGCATCTTTTCTTGCATTGTATAGTCTTCTTTTGAACTTTCAGAACGAGGGGCTCGCACTACTTCTCTTGGGAGAAGATTCCACAGCCTCTCACATCACGTTGTTAAGAACTTTTCTATATTCTCTCTCAGACCTGGGTCCACCAACTCTCTACCTCTAGAATCATCCAGTCACCAAGCTCTGAATATTGGCTTGTATTACTTAATTCCCTAGAAATACATCCCTCCAGGATACTGATCACTTTGTCACTCTTCTCCACACACTTTGATTATACCCAGGTCCCTCTTCTCAGACAGACCTTTCAAACTAGCTCATTGAGGTACGCATCCCAAACAGTCTCCCTTTTGCAGACAAATATGACTCACGAATTTATGGATTAGAGGTGCAAATATGAGTGCTTTTGCCAAACACATGCCTGTGTAGGCAAAGCAGGCTGGGAAGAGTGTGATGATCCGTCATATTAGTTGCATGCACACTTAGTTTTGCAGATACAAAAATGTAGGCAGGAACAGATTCCACACAGAAGAAGAGAGGCTGACCATGTCCCCCTTATGACATACATGGGCAGTGAGTTCATTTTGTAATCTGTAGAGCTCAGTAAAAATGTGCTTCTTACAGGATGCCTTTGATGATGCTGTGAAATATTTTGGGGAAAATCCCAAGACAACCCCCCCATCAGTCTTCTTTCCAGTCTTTGTCCGATTTGTAAAAGCCTACAAGGTAAGCAGAAATAATTTTGCTTCTCTGATTTGACTATGACAGGGAGAGCTGGTGGCTTACAGAACACCTTATAGCTCCCCCAGCTTCAATGGAAAGGTACAAAATGAGAGAACAGTGACCCATGAAAGAGCACATCACAGCAGGGTTGTGAAATAATAAAACCAGCATAGAGCATATAGTTGTTTTAGGATTTTACAAAACAGACGGCTATTTTCTTAAGACTGTCTAAGACACTGAACCAAACTTTGGAACCAATATTTCTCAGAGAGGTCTTGACATGGGAGTATATACACCTTTAATATTAGAGCTTGCTAAATGCCTACACAGTACCCTTTCTCTGCTTTAATGCACATAACTTGAGCATGAATTCCTGAATTTTTAACTCATTTTTGTGATAAGAGGAGGTTATTCGTGTGTAGTAGTTTGTTGGTAAAACATGGGATTTTTGGTCCTTATGATGAACAGCAAGCAGAAGAGGAGAATGAGCTGAGAAAAAAGCAAGAACAGGCTTTAATGGAAAAACTTCTGGAGCAAGAAGCATTGATGGAGCAACAGGACCAAAAGGTATGATGTACAGGACTTTGTGTTAATGTTACTGGAATATTTTGTTTCCAAGGTAAGGAACAATTCTCTGCCCCTAGAGGGGTTTGATAGCAAATGGAGGTAAAAAGGCCCTATAACAGTGGATCTCAACCTTCTTAAGACTTGAGGCACCCCTTGACATACTCAAGGCACTCCTCAGAAAATACCAGCTCTTAGTTTTCACTTGTTTTTTAACTACAGAAGGATAATAGAGCAATTCTTCTGTTGCAAAGGTCTCAGAAAGATCACAACGGTTAGAATATTTTAACGCTATGAATTCCTATGTGAAATCTCTGGGTTTATCTTGTGGACCTGACAGTGTTGACATTGTACTGCATCCTGCAGCACCCTTGAAAGGAAGGATCTCAAGGCACCCCAGGGTGCTGTGGCACCCTGGTTGAGAATCACTGCTCTATAAAACAGCCTGGCCTTATGTACATGTCGTCTTCTAGCAATTTGTAATTCTTAGCTCAGTGAATGTCGTAACTAGTAATCTTGGTATGCTATTCAGAATTTTTCTTTTTATTAAAAAAACCTTGTAAGATACTGCTATTATCTTAGTCAGCTGATCCCAGAACAGAATAGAAATGAAATAGAAAGGAATCGTTCTGCCCCTACCTGCTGTACAAGTTGCAGAGACAGATTAGATTAGAAAGGAAGTATTCTGTCATCTAGCCCTGCAGCAGCTTTATTCCTTAGCTTTAACTTCTAAGGCCTCTTTTTTGTCTATATGTTGAATTTCTCTTGACCCTTCTACATATAAGCTAGCATGTAAAAGGCTTCCTCCCCTTTTTCCCATTCCAAAACTTATCTCAATAATATTGTAATTGTTCCAGCCAGGGTTTCCATTTTATAGTGAGCTTTCTCCCAGCATGCAATCAAGGAGCTGGATCTTTACATTTGGCAAGGAGAACCAGCTGTAATCCTAACATAGCCAATTGGTCAGTGGGTGCTGTTGGTAGCATTTGTCAGTGGGTGTTTAATTCGAGCTGGTAAGTACGCTTCACTCTAGTTCTACAATCCCTTTCTGATTCAACAGGAGCAGGCCCATTATGTCACTTCAGCAGTGCATTACAGATTTTAAAAAAATGTGCAATTAAATAAATGAGGAGGGAGGAAAATTAAGCAGGGGACAGCGATAGGGTTGGTAGCTTGAAGAACACTTGCAAACTTTGACCTTCATCCTTTGCAAGCAGAGACAAATGATCCTTTCTCTAATTTCTTTGATCTGTAAAATTTGGATTAGTTCTTAAGCAGTTAATGTTTCTAAAACATACAAACTTTAATTTGACTTTTTGAACATTCCAGAAAAGGGGAACTTGGCAAATGGATGCTATTGGCTGTCACTCTTCACTGAACTTTGTTCCCATTTCCTTTCAGTCTCCTTCCCATAAAACAAAGAGACAGCAGCAAGAGCTAATTGCAGAGCTAAGACGACGGCAAGTCAAGGATAATAGGCATGTGTATGAGGGGAAAGATGGTGCCATTGAAGATATTATAACAGGTAAAGGAATTTTGTCTAGGAGGCTGAGTGGCTGTTTCACAAGCACCATCATAATATGGCTGCAAGTAGATTTCATCTTAACTATTGTAAAGCTTTACAAACAGGTATGGTTTACATGTACCTTAGAAAGCTGGTTCTAATGATGTGAATGAACTCACCCTTCTTAGTAGTGTGTAACGAAACCTAGAAACCAGATTTAGCGTGCTCACTTTCAGTGCTCTGTGCGTTTTCCATAGGCCTAGGTCTCAGACAGGTGAACTTTGTAGTTTGAAAACTAAAACTTTGAAGTTTTAGGTTCAGCATGTTGTCATGACACGCTTAGAGCTTGATAAGCTATAGAAAAAATCAGTCTGATGCAGACAGACATTCTCCCCATATATGCATGCCATACAAATCTTTTCTTGCAAATCTTTATCCTGCAAACCAAATGACTGATGTTTAATGTTATTTAAGTGCTTGCTTTTTCATTCAGATGTACTAACCGTAATTGCCTTGTGTTTAATGCACAGCTGAGGACAAATCATTTGGTCAGACCTGAATGATTTATAACCCTGAATTGCTATGGTTTTACTTCTTTCTAGTTTGGGCAAACTAAAACTTTGTACTTGCCACAAACCCTAGGTTGTGGGGAGTATTGCGTATAGCTAGAGGTGATCAGAACATTGCATGCAAAAAGGCTCCTGCGATTAAAAGAAAAAGATGTCTTCTAAATTCTCTTGTGTTCAAGAGTATCCTTTTAATATATATAGCTGTTCTGATAGTTGAGTTTATTCCATACCCTTGGAGTGGAAGGGACAGAATAATAACAATTTGGTGGTTTTAGAAAACACTTTTTCTATTGCATTGAACCAAAGAAAAGAAGGTATTTGGCCAGGATTTATTTTGCTGGGTTTTATGAATGTTTTTTTTCTTGAGAAAAGAAAGCAGTTTTAGCACTTGAAGAATGAAAGAAATTTAAAGCTTTTCTCCCCTGGCAAGCTGCAGGGTTGTAACTTTCCTGCAGTTTTCAAACCAAGACTTGCTGAGGAGCTGTCTGTGTCCTTTTAGTAAAGACCCACAATATCATATTTAGTCAATTTCAACAGAGTTAAAAATTATCAAAGGCTCTAGAACTCCCCGAGTTGCTCTGCTGTTTTCTTCTGTTACATGCTGTGCTTTGCCAGCCAAAAACAGGTTTTAAATATACTCAGAGGAATGTCAGATGCACTGATCATTACCAGATACAAGTATTGTCTTAAATTGATGGTGCCTCTTAGAGCCAGAAAAAAGTTCCAGGTCTGGAATATACTAACCTGAATGATTTGTAAGCCACCATCATGTGGGATACCCCTCTCTGAATTAGATTGTAATGCTGAACTTTCAAAGCCAATGGCAGCTGTGAAATGTGAACATCTTTTATTTGGAGCCTACTTGAAATATCTTTGTTCCCACAGAAACCCAGCCTAGCAAATGCTATTGCAATTAAATAACTGATCAGAACATGTAAAACCATCCCAGGATGTCTTTAACAAGGCACTAACATTGTACTAATGCAATAGATCTTTGCTTCTTACTGTGTTCTGTTTGTCTTGTTTGGCTATTATTTTCCATGCAGTGCTGAAGACAGTGCCCTTTACTGCTCGAACCGCCAAGCGTGGCTCTCGGTTTTTCTGCGAACCTGTTCTCACTGAGGAATTCCATTACTAAACTATTACTCTTTCACATCTGATGCTCTTAAAAAAGGTTGCTGTAGGTTTTTGACATTTCTCCGTTTGTATGGATCTCAGCCAGGGCCACATGAATGTTGAATGGATAGTCATATTGTCTGCTGTCTACTTGGAGTTGTATTTTATGTCGTCATCTCATTGCATGTTTTGGTGTTGCAGTAACCTTTTATTTCCTCTCATCAATTCTGTGCATGGCACATGTGATCTCCTATCTCAGAGGCACTATTATCAGCTTGACAAACGCCACAGAACAGCAAGTGGTGGAAGTCACAGCCTACTGCCAGAGCAAAATCTTGATGGCAGCTTTATTGCAGTACAGATCCATGCAGTTTACGAGAGACTCATTGGGTCAAATAAAGTCATAAAAGTGACTGTTCACTTGGTTTTTCTATGTTATCTTTTCTGGGCTCTCAAAATTTCCCGTTTGTGCAGCAGTTTATGTTGTATGTTTGCAATACCTAAGATTGCTATCTGGGAGCAGAATTAGTGTGTGAGAGCTGACTGGGACTTCTCTGGGTTTTGCTTCCTGGCTTGAAAGTTACTTGTGCTTCTGGGAGGAGCATGCATTTTATTTTTTCAGACATTTTTAACCAATGCTTGCATGTATATGTCTGCATGTAAGATAAGAAACAAACTGAATAACACTAAATCCTCCTCATTCTGTCACACTCGCTTTTGTTTTTCAGTTCCATGCCAGCTGGATTTAACATGATGGAAATTAACAAGCAAACTAGTCAATTTGTGTGTCCATGGTACATGTGCCTTCAGTGGTCATTTGATGGGTATTGTGGAACACTGGATGTAGGCTTTGGTTTCAGGCCCTAATAATGGCAATGCCATATAACAGAAAGTCCTAAAATTCATTGGATCGTATAGTTCACTGAGAGCCAAATTCACGGTCTGATTCCTGTTTGGTCAGAACCAGCTCCAAATACATTTTATGGACAGACATTTGAATGTGGATGGGGAAACTAAGGGAAACATTGGACTTTGTTCCCAAGTCTCTGTAGCAAGCACTTCCTGATGAAAACCTTGGCATGGAACTGGATAGTCTTTTTCTTACAGCTTGCACCACAAGGTGTGAAAGTGTGCATTTAACACAGCATGAGTCTTAACACTGTTGTCATGGATTAAGAAATCAGTAACTTGTAAAGACAACTGTGTTTCATTTTCTACTTTTGCAGTATGTATATTTGAGAGCTTCTTAATAAGACTGCAAACTATAATCCACGCAATAGTTTTTGCTCTTTCAAGTTAATTGCTGTATTATCTTCCTGGAGCCAATCTTCAAAGCAGCTTGGAATTTTGTTAGCAAAGAGACCAGGGTGGCCATCTTGTCCTTCCTTCCTGTTTCTAACCTCCTTTCATAGCCTTGGCCTTACCCTCTTTTCTTGCTCTATTGGCTAACATGCCTGGGAGTTTTGAACGCTGAGTTGAGTTGCGCTTCATTTTCCATCCCATTTTTTACTTAACCATCATTTTTGTGTTTTTGTTTTCTTTTCTGTTTAGCCCTAAAGAAGAATAATATCACTAAATTTCCAAATGTTCACTCGAGGGTAAGGATTTCTTCTAGCACACCGGTGGTGGAGGATACACAGAGCTGGCAAGCATCACTTTTTACTTGGCTTCCTCCTCTCTCTGTATGCCAGACAAATTGCTGATTAAATGTGGCTAAATGTAATACTGGTGAAAGTAAAAAACCACGAGCTACACTTGTAATCTGGGAATGTGCCTGTGTTTTACAGACATCTATCTCTGCTTTCACATTGCTGTTTATAGTGTGGGTGAGGATGAAAGACATTTCTACTGTCAGATGTCTAATTGCAGGATCCTCTCCAACCTAATTTATAACGTTCTTGTTCAGAATTAGAGGTGTGATCTTGCAGGGAGTCCAAGAAGCCATATCTGCTGGCTGTCCCCTGGGCCACTGTATAGTTTCCTTGGGTACTCTATTTCTACCTGTGACATAAAAGCCATGGGGAGCTCAGAGCTGCAGAGCTCCTCCGGGAAGGTGGCTCACATACAATAAATTACATCCCTGTACATCTCTACTTCTGATTTTTAATCTCTTCATTTCCTCCTAGGGCCTGCAAACACCAGTGTTACTAAAACTTAGGGGCATGGTAACCCACTTGTGTGGCTTCAGCAAATATGGGGAAAAAGAAGTGGGTTACAGGTTTGAAGTTCTTCTGAGTTGGGTATTTCTCTCTCCCCCCAATTACTTCTCTCTTCATCGGTATAGTGGATTTCTAAACTTCTCCCATCATTACTGTTTGGGGAGGGGAGAAACACCATCTCCTCTGTGACAGAGCCCTTCTTGAACTGTCAGCAAAGAAGAGGGCACTACCTCAGCACCCCGATCAGCCAGTGTATAACTTGGAAAAAAGAGATCTAGATGGAAGATAGGTGACAGGTGCTTCATTGCATTTTCTAAGCTGTGGAAGAAGACAGAGCCATTAAGTGGATTGTTTAACATTTTTGAGGTATGGTGCCCTCCTTTTTCTCCTCTTCCATGGAGGGCAGTTTGGCCAAGTTTTTTCTAAGACAATTGAGTCCTGTCTCCACGAATGTCTCAACTATTTGCTGGTCCTTCACTCCATTTGATGTCCAGCCTGTTCTGCTCCTCTACAATCCCAGGCCAGCTACATGGTCATCTAATAGAAGATGGACTAGAAGCTGCACAGATGAGTATGTAGGCAGAAGTGGAATATGACAACTTCTCCCTCTGCTGTATAAAGTTGGGATATACAGGACCTGCCCTTAAATAGGCTCTTTGAGCCATTTTTTTGGGTGCAAATTCAGATTTGGAGAAGGCTTCAGGTACCCCAGACCAACTGAAATTTATTTGCTGGCAGAAGAAACCAGCCTGTCAGGATTTACAGAGTATGCTCAGTACATCTATTTGTAAGTTTTAAGTTCGTATCTGCATGCAGCAAGAATAGTGACTTGATAACTGCGTATTTTTCCTTCAACAGTCAAGTTTAGGCCACCTACTATAGAAAAATATGTAAAAGTAGTCCAGATTCCAAATTCTCAGTATTTTTATACTGCACATGCTCACTGTATCCCTGTATCATTCCCAAGAGGCTTACTTTCATAATTGGCAACTAGGAGAGAGTGGGAGCTAAATTTATCCTGACTTCACCAGGAATGGAGAGAGGTAGAGCTGGTCATGCAGAAATGAAGCCCCCACTGTGACTGCATCCAAGTGGAAGGTATCACTAGGTCAGAACAGGTTAGCAGCAATGGGACAGAAGAGAACTTTAAATTCTTGAAACACAGTAACTCCAGGGCATTTACCTTTTCTATTATATATCATCTCACCAAAGGTAGATGTATATATGACATAAAAACATTCTTGCTTTGGCAAAAACTTAAATCATCATCTTGCTTTGTGTGTGTGTATTTATTCAGCTTCCAACCCTTTTGAGAGAGGGAAAAACATGCTTTATCAGTCAAAATGCAGTGATTGTAGTGTTTATTTATAAAAAACCAAAAAACCAAAACAGTCTTGCTAAAACGTTTTCCCTTGATGTTGCCTTTCACAAACTCTTTCCTAGAAAGAGTCATCACCAGTCAGTTGGGGAAGTATTTCAAGCTTGATTCATTTAGACACGAATGCCACCAGTATTACCTTTCTTCTGAATGTCTTATTAATAAAAGGACAAATCAGTATTTGCTCAATTCTGTTCTCAAAGGGTTTTAAAGACCCTTCTATTCTTCCGACACAAGCTGCTTTGATTGGCTTCCAGCAGAACTTTTTTTGTCTAGACAGAAGTGTACATAGTTGACCCATTTCTGATATGCCATTCCCTTTTTGCAGATCTTAGAAACCAGCCCTACCGACGAGCCGATGCGGTGAGGAGAAGTGTTCGACGACGCTTTGATGATCAGAACTTACGCTCTGTAAATGGTGCTGAAATAACCATGTGAGCTGGAGACCTGCATGTGTAAAGTAGAGGGTGTGCTTGAATGATACTTGTCCACGGGAACTCTATGTGCTACCATTTAATTACAACCTGGAACACAGTCAAAATTACCTTTTAAAGGGCTCAGACATAGAAAATGCATAGGAACGTAAAAGCGATGGGCTCTCCACTCAACCATAGCTAACAAGTGCCTAAAATTGAAGTACCTGCTCAAATTAATCAAAGCAATAGGACTTGATTTGATTGGGTATCTTTGTACACCAATACATTATTCAGTATTTTTAACCAAAATGTAAAATACATGTTGTATTCTCTCTCTCTCTTTTGTTGTTATTGTTGTTACATGCAATGTAGTGGTTGGTCTTCAATAGCCCTATTTGGTTTCCTGACAGGCTGTAAATAAGTAATACTTGGATGCCATCTGCTGTGGACTCAAGCTTTTAAATGCATTCCTGTGCTGTCTGCTAAGGAATTAACCTTAAGCTTCAGCTGCACTTACTAGCTTTTATATATAAAGGCTTACAGTGTGTAAGAAGGAAACAGTTACAAACATAACTGTAGCTTTTTTATCGTACAGAGATTCTGCATCAGTGTAAATAGGATGTGAGAACCTGTCATTCGGTGAACATGTGGTTTATATCAAATGAACACCTATTCTTTTTATATGCCAGTGTGCAATGTGGGATGCATCATGAGGGAGGGAGACTTAGAAAATATGAATGCATTGCAAAGTTACATGAAATGAGAATGTTGTATAAGATTTATTCACTATGGTCTTCAGATAGAGGCAGCTTTGGAATAAGTGTATTTATTAATTAGCACTAAGATATTAACATCTCAATAATCAGTATTAGGATTTCTGAGGACCATTGCTGTTCAGTTATTAGCACAGTGAAATAATCTTGTGCCCACTAGAGAGGATTTTAATATTCCATCTATAAGCCTAGTCTGCATCATTTGGCGAAAACAGTAACCCCCTCACTAGGTTTTTCCTTGACAATCGAATTCAGATCACACAATGTAAAGGCACATGCATTCAAATATAGTCAGCTTCCAACTTCTGAGTAGCTGCAGATATGTTGGTTACACTCTAAACTTTAAAATGGAGCTCTATGCATGAAGCGTGGCACCATTACTAGGTACCCTACTGGTTCAGATCACTCTAGGGCTGTAATGGAATTTTATCTGATCCTATCGTGGTAGGGCACAAGACCTACTCCAAAGTCGAGAACTGGACTAAAGGTAAACTTGTACTTTCAGAGGAGACGCATTTTGCTTATAGCTTATCTTTCCTGGAAGCATTGCAACACTATGTTAATTGTAAAATTTACTGTATAGTATTTAACCACTGAGTTTCTTTTCTTTTATGTTGTGCTTTATGTGAACCACTGGTGAAGGTCCCCTTTTCCTTGGATAATGTGTAGTTATATGATAATCTGTTTTTAAATGTACAGATATTTTGCTACAAAATTGGTGCAGTTTTTTATGGTTTTTACACTTCTCTAATTCCCACTTTAGCCTCTGGGTAATACTGTAAATATTGTTTAAAAATGCATTGGCCTGTGCTATACAATCTGAATGTTATTTTAACTTATAGTTTTGTTTTGTTTTTATATTTAACTAAATGAACAGTTTGGGGCTCAGAGTTACCACATTGACTTCCGCTTACCTAGTTACCAAACTTTTACATTAAAACTGCCACCTGTTCTCACTTACAGCTATGTGTACTTGACATGCTAAAGAGAACATGCCAAGATTGCCTCTTTCTTCACTGACAGTGACAGAAGTTTTCAAATCTGTACAAGAAACAATCAATTTGGCAAAGTGATTCAAGAAGTTATTAGTCAAATGGTCAAAAGCATTTTCTCAAAATGTAAGTTTGAAAGGATCTTGTAACTTAACTCTTGACAGCAAATAATGTTACCAGACAGAAGGACTGTAATGCTGGCATGTTCTCTTTAATGTTTTTCTAGTAATAGATCTGCTTCCTAGCAATATTAGAAGTGTTTTATAAAAGCAGTTCATGTTACTTTTCTGGTCTGTTCCTGGCATATGATCAAATAAACTATTTACACTACTACATGGTAATCCATGATTCTTTCTTAGGTTTGTTTATGCTGAGCCGTGAATGAACTTTCCAGAGCTTGTTAACACTAATGGATCACAGGGGGTGATGAAGCAACTTACAACTCCCAAAAATAAAGCACAGGCTTCTGCCATAAACTACCACTTTTTTCAATGCAAACTTCTCCATTTCAAGATTCCAATTTTTGTTCTGAGAAATACTGCAGACCCTGCTTCCCCCAATCTCCGTCCAACCAGTACTTATGCCACAAGTGGAATATGCCCCTACTGCACCTACTGTTGGATGCTGGCAGTACTGCCAGGATTATCAAGCAGGGAACATAAAACACAGCATTCTTTAAAAACCTTAAACAGCAGCCATTTTAATCTCCAGTGGACACATATTGGGGATCAATTTGGACTAGCTCATTCTTTCCTTGCCTTCTCTTCCCAGGATGTAGACATTGTCCATTTCTTGATGAGCTGCCCAATACCCACTCCTTCATTTGAGAGCATAAATTTGAGGGAGGTGAGGAGGGTCCATTCATGGGTCAATATTTTTAAACCTTTTCTTGCAGCAGTGGAATTAGAGGAGTTTATTTTGTGTCTGGCACTAGTAAATTCACAGAAGAGCTTGCACCTAAACTTCAGCACCCTAAAAGGTGGTGGTCCTGGAGTTCTTTTCATATAGCTTTTCACCTCCACTGGAAACATTTGTAATTTGTCTCTCGGGATATGGATGTGTACATTTTGGCTAGGGACAGAAGGTCCACATAAACCAGTTTAAGTGATCAGAAATTGGTTTCAACCTGTAACAGAACAGAAGTTCAGTGCATGTAAACCACCTTCAAAGTTGCTGAAACTGGCTTAAGATAAGACCCAGTCAAATGTAGTATCAGACTTAACTGATTTGAGTCAAACCAGTTTATGAAACTTCTGTCCTAGACCCCTTCCTGCTTCAAGTTAAATCGGAGTTTCCCAGCATGCTTTCAAGCCCTACGCTGGGCTGTGCTGTCTGCTCCAGAGAGCAAGGCTACCCCCCTCCCCCTGGCTGGAACAGCGAGGGCTGGCTCAGTTCCACCTCCCCACCCTGGCAAACCCCTGCTGGGGTGTGGGGCCAGGGAGCGATGTTAAACTCGTCTTCCCAAGCGCAGAGCTGCTCTGCTCTGCTGACTGACTTCGTGCTGGATGCATCTGTGGACTAAAAATCCCAGAGCCACTTAGAGACACGAAGTGATGAGCAACCCTGCAATCCTACTGCTGTTATTTTGGGACTGCAAATCCCAGAGATCTTGGGGGTGGCAGGAAGAGGAAGCAAACACACAGCCCATGCTGGCTACATGTCAGAGAGCTGTGCTTTAGCACCACCCCCACATCTCTTGGCTTAAGCCATTGAAGCCATGTGGCTGCATTTCCTGCATCAAGTGATTGCCTGTTCATTGGCTTATTAATTCAATCTTTGCAGCTTAAATTAACTTGCAAAGACTGAATCAATTCAGCCTCAGGCTTTTTGACTATTTGTACTTAGCTTTCATGAGGAATAATTCAGAGTAATTCCCAATCAGCAGATCTCCCAACTTTAACACTGCTTCCTTTGCATTATCCTCAGCTAGTGCACACCTGTTAGACTGTAACATATCCCTTTTTGAAACTACTCTAAATACAAGTTCATTCATACCCTCAAAACCAGGTCAATTTAGGGGACGACAAGGGGACTGAAAAAAACCTCACACCTTTTGTACAAGTTACATTTTCCTACAGGTCCAGTCTCACAGACTGCAAGAAGCTATCTATACACTTGGCCGTCCCCAACTTTTGGAGAACCCTTTTAGATGGAGCTGAAGGGGGTATGCTTGCCACAGCATCCCAATGTTAAGAATTCTAATAGAACCCTGCTGCTTGGGAACAGAGCAGGGACACGTAGGACAGGAGAGACCAGCAGCACAGGATTCACATGACATTGGAGCAAAACTTTCACTTCTGCAAGGAGCTGCTTACCCATGAAGCAGATTTTTGCTAAGACTTGCTGAACAGGATCTAAGAGTTATCCAGACAGCATCTTTCTGTTGGTGTTCAGGCAGAGTGATCAGGGCTAGCAGGAGTGTCAAGGTCCCTAGTAAGCATCAGGGTATTCAGAGATAAGCTTAACCAATCAATTGGGGGGGGGGGGAGAGGGAGTAGTTTACCAAGACTATACAGGAAGTCAGTGGCAGACCAAGGAATGAGGAACCGTGGACCTGTGCAGAAGTTATACTTATCCTATGTTAAGTATGTATGCTAGAGCACTATAAAGCCATGGCTGAACAGACCTTCACAGCATATAGTGTGTTGTAATGACAGGTCCTGCTCTAAATTAACCCTGGATGGATTTGGGAATCAGATTAAAGTGCTTTAGGATATAGCACTTTTTTTTTCCAATTTCTGTACCATATCCATGAGTCTTATTCAGTAAGTAAAGATTTAATCTGTGATATCTGCACATTTACAGTATAATAAAGAAAACCCATAACGTGATAAGACAGCAGGCCATCCCAAGTATATGTTGTACATATCTTTTTTGTCCATCTGGATTTTATTACCAGTACCTTTTATTCTTAAACTTGTACATACTTATTTGAATACAGTCAAAAAAAGCTTCCAAGATGCTTTCTTTGTGGGGTTATGGATTTTGCCATTGTCATTAATTTATTGCAAGTTTAAGAACTATATAAATTTGAGCTTTTATATACTTTGTGTCCTTAAAGTAGTATTAGTAATGTAGTAATGGTAATTTAAGACATCAACAAATCAAGACCAATTATGTCCTTTTTTTAAAAAAACAGTATGTTCATTCTGCTTTTTTTTTTCAACTCGCATGTGGTAACTTCTATAGGCATTTCTCCTTTAAAATGCAGCTCTATAATCAAATACTGACTTTGAAAGTATACTTATCTCTTACTAATTTCAACAAGTCATTGATTGTCCTCATCTAAATTTCTTGGTAAATTTCAAGTCTAAGTGTTAAAATAATACTTTTTGATTAAGGAAAAAAGGCATTTGTCTTTATTGCAGCACAGTTTGAAATGAGAGGCTAATGGCAAATGAGAAAAATAACTTGCTCTTCTAAACACTTAATTCCATTATGCCTAATCCCAAATTTGTCAGCATAAAGGTTTGTCTTTACCAGGTTCCAGCTTCCTTGGCAGTGATCCTGTGGACAGACTACATTAATATCCGAATCAAAGAAAAGTAATTATAACTCTTAAATTAAAAAAATCCCCATCAAAGTTTTTTCTTTTCTTTTACCTCTTTTCCCCATTGTAATGGTGGTTTTAAAGTAGGGGCAGACAAAATCTATGATGAGAAATGAATTAAAAAAAAAAAACATTGTTCAAGCAGAATTTCTTTTAATACATCTGCAAGATATAATGTTAAAAGAACAACATGTCAATGTGTCTTATAAGATGGAGAACAACATGCTACAAATATAAGAGAAGATAAATGATAACTACTAATTTACAAAATGTGGAGGATCAATTAAAAAAAATAAAAGCTCTTGTAGCTAAAATTCAATTTTTTTTAAAGGCTCAAAATATAATCAATGAAATCGTGGATTCAAAAAACCTGTAATCCAAGAACCACAGCATAACAGCAATTGCTTGGGAGTGAAGTAAAACAGGCATCTTAACTTCAGTTGTGTGCAAAACAAGTAAATCAAATGCTGAAAAATGCTGATTTTTGAAAAGTGTTAGCAATCCGCATTTACAGGTTTGTTAAACTTTCATTTAGCCAATCATCCCTGTAATTTCAAGCCAAAATTCACCTTAAAAACCAAGAGATTGTGATGCCTTCTGGGAGGAGGAAGGCAGAGGCTCTGAAGAGGGTTGTTGCTGTTTAGAATGACAAAGTCGTTATTTATGGTATAAATAAATGCTTTGCTGGACCACTGCACAAGGATGGCCAGTCTAACCCAATGCCTGGACAAGTGGGGCAAGGAAGAGAGGAAAAATAATTTCTCTTAAGAGAAAATAGGTCATGTCTTGCCAAAAAGTGATTTAAAATGTTAAGACTGCAAGATCTGATTGAGAAATAAAAAACATTACATTAGAATAATTTACATTTACAGATTTTTATTTTTAATGGAAAAATAAAGACAAACCTTTTAAAAGTAATATTTACTTAGAAACATGTTTCTTCATGTAAATTATGCAAGGCAATAACAAAATATTTTACATAAATTCTAACTGTGTTTTCAAAACCATTGGCCTTTCAAAATTTCTGAACTAAATTTAGTATTTAACACTTGCCCAGATCTACATCAATGTAAAACCAAATATTATACATGATTAACTACTTAAGTACTATAACCCCAAATTCTGTTCCTTTGTTTTTAACTAGAGAATAGCTACTTGTTACAATATCTGTTGCTTTTTAAAATATAAAGCACAAGAAAGTGAATTTTACAAGGTTAGCAAAATATATATATAGATAGATATATATATATATATATATATATATATATATATATTAAATCTAGACTGATTTAATATAGCCATAGTCCTGGGAACAGCAATTTCTGGTACTGACCAACTATCCCACAACTTTCCATGCTTGGGACAGTTGCTGGGTAGGGTGAAGAAATACAGGACAGTCCCATTGCCAGTATTTTAGCTCATTTGCAACTTCCTGGCTATTAACATGACATTTCACTGTATATAAAAGGCAAGAATCTTAGGATTCTTGGCCTGGCCACAACTCAGGTGAAGTATTTCTTCAGTAATGAGCAATTAGTAACGTGTTACGTAGTGACCAGTGACTTAAGCTTATGCTGGATGGCAAAAACATGAAGAGTGCTCCATCTACTGACTAGTGTGTGTAGTAGATCATTTTTAAAAATAATGTAGTAGTTTCTTCCTTAATAACAGAGCAGAACACATTTGTAACACGGAGACTTTCTTTCAAATGAAAAGTTTCTAAGTAACCTTAGGAATTCACTTAACCAACCTATTGATAAAATATGCTGTGTGAATGCAGAAGTTCTAAGGATACAGCTCAAACAACTGGGGCCGGTGGGTATACTAGTAACCCAACTATATATAATGCTGGTAATATATACTGGTACTATCAGTCAGATGCATTAGGGAAAGGGATTCACGTACATTGAAGAAGCTGAACTGTATATATCGTCTTCAAAATATTGAGGCAACATGTGTTGCTCATCAATCAGATGATACTGATTTTTTTTTTTAAATCAGAGCTGTACAGAGTATTTAATACTAGAAATAAATACTAGTACACGCTTGAAGACAAGGTTTAATAATCGATAAAAATGTACAAAAATATTCAAATCAGAAAGGTTTCAGAATGTGTACCACGGTAGTTAATATCCGTCACTGAAGAGGGACGATGGAATTTTCCTCCAAGCAGAGGTTATAAAAAAAAAATTGGTAAAGTCAGGACATTTTTTTTTTTTTTTTTTTAAAAGAAAAAGATCGACACTGATTTTCTAGACATGAGTATTGCAACTACTACTAAAAATTTGGTGGTACATTCTTCAGCAGATTCTTAAGGCAACATATTGAAATAAATTTACAATTTGATTTCTGTTAAATTTCCTTAACATGACAATAAATGCTGTAATAATGCCCTTAGCCATTTATCAGGTATTACTTCAATACAAATGATGGCTATATTACAGCAGTGTCCTCTAGTGCCACTGTAATGAAGGGCCTACCTATCACATTTCCATCATAAGCACCTTTTTGCAGGGGTTTAAAACATTACCATAAAAATTCACTCCAAGATGAACTTGATATAGAATGTCTCAGCCAGGAAGTCAGATTTTCTGTTTAATACAAATCATCAAAACTATCAGTTTGGCCAGTCATGTAATACCCAAACAACAGCTTCAATTGTGGATTCTTCTTTGTACTGTAAGTTAAGAAATGGATTCATTATTCTCCTCCCCTTTCCAGCCCCCCGCCCTTCAAAAAATAAAAACAAACCCACAAAGCAAGTTGAACCACAAGAAACTATATTATGGATCTCTTTTATTAAAGAGGAGAATTTAGCTCACCCACACTGGCCAGAAGAACTAGGTTTAGTACCTTTCTAGGAAGAACTGTGTTTAGGATGTGGTTTTGCTAGAAAGGTGCCAGTACTTCCCCTGGCCATTGTAAGTAGAACCCAGAGTCAAAAGTGAAATGTCTTCCATTAATCACATTAAACCCTGCAAATAGTTCCATGATGTAAAAAGGATACGTGTTATCCAGCCAATTAAGAACAGAATTTCAGCTTTAACTCTGAATTTCCTTTTCTTTTTTAGATTTGATGCCAGGCCTGCCAGAGTGGTACTTGAATGTATTTCTTGATGCAGTAAAATTTAAACCCACTGTTATTTCAACAATGGAACTCATATCCAGCATATTAGAACCCATATCCTGAATTAGACATTGGTTTATTTTATTAAGTCATACTGTAAACATATTTGGTATAAATAATTCTCTTATTGATCTTCATCCAGTTGTTCCAAAAGGGTCCTTCTCTGTTTTTCCAATTCCCCTTCACTCAGTTCACTGCCGGAAGTATCCCAGTTACCCTGCAAGGAAGTGCACTGATTATGGCAAGAACACCTCATTTATAAAATATACAACTCGCCCACAGGAGGTACTGCATATTTCATTACTGGTTTTGGATCTTCATTACAAAACAGGGCGAGAAAATTAAAGGGAGTATAACACATTTAAAGGAGTCTACACATAAAGAAAACAAACACACACTCGAGGATCTAGGAATTATACAAGTCTCACTCTGCAAGATAGCCACAATTACGTGTAATTTTTCTCAGTAGACATACATCCTTGTTTATCTATCACAAACTTTCCATCCCTAGACCAGTAAAGAAAATGTCACTGTGCAATGTTGTCTACTCTGACAACTGGTGTTTTGAGTGTCCTAAAGCATGTGTACACCAAAGAACCACGCTAGGGAGCACTGGAGTGAAGCACAATATGCATGCTACAACCCAGAAGGATGTAAAGTAACCACTTTGTGGTGAGCTGGCATCACAGTGCAAAAAGCTCTTCAGGCACGTTTATTGGCATGCCATAAACCAGGTACCATGCTAACAGTGACTATATTACATCCATGCAGAGCACAGTGTGCATGAGATATGCACTAGGGCTGTGCGAAGCTTCAGTCCCTCATTTGTTTCGGCATAGATTTAGGCTGATTTGATGGCTGAATCGCTGAATTAAATCAGAGGACCCTTTAATCTCTCCGAATTGAATTGGAACCCTCTGGAGAGATTTGGAGATAGACACAGCTTTAAATGTTTTTTCTACATGCCTCAAGGTCCAGGCAGCTCATGAATGCTGAGATGCGGGGGCACACGGAGCATCTCACAGGAGCACGCTGGGAGCCCCCCGTGCTCCGTAGCAGACCTGGAAGTGGACCAGAAGCACTTCTAGGTCTGCCTGGGAGCCCGCTGGGGGCCACCCCCATACCTCGCAGCTCAGCAAATGGTGCCTCCTGGGTCTGGGTGGGCACTCAGGGTCCCCCCCATGGCCAATCCCTGAGCCAGGGGGCTCCCTCAACATGCTCCCCGGCAGACCTGGAGGTGGACCGGACGTACTTCTGGTCCACCACTTCCAGGTTCACCACCGAGTACGTGGAGGGCCCCCCTTCACTCCATGCACCCCAGCGTTCACAAGCCGCGCTGCTACCTCGAGGTATATAAAAAAAAACTTTTAAAGCTATGTCTGAATCATTGGGGGTCACTGATACCTGTGCTAGAAGTACTCAAGAGTCCTCCTATAGGTGCACTACAAAGGAACAGGCTGCTCTACAAGCTCTGATGTTCAAGCCATTTTCCACACCTGGCCTCTGCCATGCACCTTGAAACACTTGAGCACCCACCACCACCACGGAACAGCTGCCTGCCTGCCACCTACTACAGCTGCACAGAACCTGGGCCAGCTAGCCAGAAGCCTGCAAACAGCTGCACTGGGCTCCGGCTGGGAAGGGGCCTGGGGCAGCACAACCCCTGTCCCTCTTCTGCTGTCTGCCCTGAGACTTGTGCAGCTGCCGCCACCACGTAGCCCAACTGGAGCCTGGTGCAGCTGTTTGCAACCTCCTGGCTGCCTGCCACAGCTGCACTGGAATCTGGAGCCCCGGCACCAGCTCTATGGTAGCTGTAAAAGCCCATCTAGGGGCACAGTGGGCAAGGGCTGTGCTGCCTCTCGCTTCTTTCCGGCTGTACACCTCAAGGTGTGTGTGCAACCACCACTGCCACAGAGTCCAGTCAGGGCTCCAGACCCCAGCGCAGCTGTTTGCAGCCTCTTGACTGCCTACCACATCCAGCCTGGGCTCTGGGCAGCTGCTACCTGCCATATAGCCTTGGGCTGCTTGCAGCAGGACTTACAGCCTCCCTGCCACCTGCTGCGAGCAGCCCAGGGTCTGGGGCTGATGCCAGCTGCCCAAAGCCTGGGCTAGCTGTGGCATGCTGAGCATAATGGTCTCTCATGCCGTTCTCTGATGCATGTGTTGGGGGTCACTGATCCCTGTGCCAGAAGTACTTAAGAGTCCTTTTATAGATGCCCTACAAAGAAACAGGCTACAAGCTCTGATGTTCAAGCCATTTTCCACACCATCAATAAGGTAGATCTGAGTTAGTGGGGACAGCAGATAATACACTGTTTATCCTACTCGTGTAGACAATTATTAGTAGATGTTTAGGATTGTAAATCCAAAAAAAGCTGACAAAGCCAGTAGGGAAATACATAGTGCCCGAGTGAGGGACTAACAATAGAAGGATGGGGGTGAGGAGGGGAACGCAACTAGGTTACAGGCGATACAATGTTAATTGTTCTATTAAACATGCAAATTTTTCTATTAATATAAATGGACCTCATTTTCAGTTTTGTGGCAAATACATTATTAAACATCAGTTTTAAGAAGTTGCATGTAGAGACATCAATCCTGTTCTGAGGGTGATCTTAAAATTGTACTGAAACACGTGGCCCATCTGTTCGATACACATCCAGCTTTGGTATCCTCATGGGGAGTCAGGAAAAAGAATTCTCCCCCTTAAGACACAATGTCTCTCTCTCTCTCGCTTTGTCCAACTGACACTTACCAAAGATCACTAAGAAGCTAGTTTTCAAATGTCCTAAAACAAAGGACCTTCCCAAGTTTTACTGCCTTGTAAAATCTGTTATGATTTGCTCAGAACCTAACTTTTAACTTTAGAAGATGTATGGATCTGCCACTTAATGTGCAAATTATTAGTGCTATGCTAATAAAGTCTAGTTGGGTCATCTTAAGTTGCCTAGTTAACGTACCATTGTGCAAGAGTGAACTTTGTAGGGTATCAGCTGGCCACTGATCAGTTGATATCCAGAAGGAATGTATGTTATATATAAGTTAATATGAAAATACTCTTCAGCTTTCATAACTTCAGAAAATAGTTTGTGGTCACTTTTATCCCACTCTTATTTGATGCTGGTGATGTCTTACCTGGAATACGGTGTCTAGTTTTGAGCATACGTTTTAAGATGTGGACAAATTAAGAAGTCCAGCGGACAGCAACAAAAATGATTAGAAGCCTCAAAAATATGGATTGTGAGGAAAGGTTGAAAGAACTAGGATTATTTACTCTGAAGAAGAGGACTCTAAAGTGGTGGGATTTGATACAGTCTTCGAATACCTGAAGGATGGTTATACAGAAGATACAGAGGCAATCAGGCAGAAGGCAGAGCAGTGGGGGACTAATTTATTCAGAGACATGAGCTTTCATAGGTGATAGGCTACAGCCTACTGCATCAGGTGCTATGAATGGACTTGCAGAAAGAAGGCAGAGGTACTAAATAGAAAGGAATACAGTCATTTAAATATGAAAAATAGGGAAAAGAGGGGGGAGGAGTAGGGAAAAGAGGAGGAAAGGAAGGTAAAGACGTATTAATTTTCTGTGGCTGCAGGGGACAGGACAAGGTACAATGCCCATGAATTACAGAAAGGAAAATGGTGACTGGGTATTAAAATAACTCTGAGGGTGTCAGAGACTCACCATATTTTGGGGGTGTTGTGGAATACAGCATAGATTGTTTCATGAATCAGGACTGCTGCTAGTGTGTAGTCTCTGTTTATAGCTAATATATAGTGTTTAGCTCTGTCATGCTTCATTCTTTCCTGCCCATGGCAAGGGTCGGACTTGATCTGCTCAGGTCCCTTCCGACCCTACCTACCATGAAACTATAGAATCATAGAAAATTAGGAATGGGAGGGGCCTTGGGAGAGACCTCAGGAGGGGTAATCTAGCCCAACTGCCTGCTCAAAGCAGGGCCAGTCCCACCTAGATCATCCCAGGCAGGGCTTTATCTTAAAAATCTCCAAAAATGGAGATTCCACAGCCTCTCTGAATAACCTGTTCCAGTGTTTTACTACTCTCCTAGTTTTTCATATCTAACCTAAACTTTTCCCTTGCTGCAACTTGAGACCTTTGCTCCTTGTTCTGTCATCAGCCACCACTGAGAAGAGTCCAGCTCCATCTTCTTTGGAATCCCCCTTCAGGTAGCTGAAGGCTGCTATTAAATCCCCCATCAATCTTCTCTTCTCAAGACTAAATAAGCCCAGTTCCCTTAGCTTCTCCTCAGAAATCATGTGCCCCAGCCCGCTAATCATTTTCACTGCCCTCCACTGCACACTCTCCAATTTCTCTACTTGCTTTGGACACAGTACTCCAAATGTAGCCTCACCAGTGCTGCATAGAGGAGAATAATCACTTCCCTCGATTTGCTGGCAATACTGATACCAATGCAGCCCAGCATGCTGTTAGCCTTCTTTGCAACAAGGACACACTGCTGGCTCATTCATCTTATTGTCCACTACAACTCCTAGGTCCTTTTCTGCAGAGCTGCTACCTAGCCAGTCCCCAGCCTGTACCAGTGCATGGGATTGTTTCATCCTAAGAATCCTAACGCTATCCTCCAGCATAGCTACTACTCCCCCAGCTTGGTGTCATCTGCAAACTTGCTGAGGGTACACTCTTTACCATCTTCCGGATTACTAATGCAAGATACTGAACAAAGCCAGCCCCAGGAAAGAGCATTGGGGCACTCCACTTGATACTGCCTGCCAACTAGACATTGAGTCATTGGCTACTAATTCTCTGAGCTCGATGATCCAGCCAGTTTTCTATCCACCTTATAGTTTAGCCATTACTTCCTTATCTTGCCTGTGAGAACGTTGTCAGAGACCATATCAAAAGCCTTGCTAAAGTCAAGGTACATTGCGGCCACTGGTCTCCCCGCATGCACAGAGCCAGTCATCTATCTCATCATAGAAGGCAATCAGGTTGGTCAGGTATGACTTGCCCTTGGTGAATCCATGCTGATTGTTCTTAATCACACTTTTCTCCTTCAAGTGCTTAGAAATCGATTCCTTGAGGACCTGCTCCATGATTTTTCCAGGAACTGGCGTGAGGCTGACTGGTTGGTAGTTCCCTAGATCCCTTTTTCCCCTTTCTTAAATATTCCCTTTCCCCTTTCTTAATCTAGGGTCTCTCCTGATCACCAGAATTTTTCAAAGATGATGGCCAGTGGCTCTGCAATCACATCAGCCAACTCCCTCAGCACCCTGGGGTGCATCCTGTCAAGCCCTACAGACTTAGATGTCCAACTTTTCTAAATAGTCCCTAACCTGTTCTTTTGCCACAGTTGGCTGCTCACCTTCTTCCCAAACTGTGCTACCAGGTGCAGTAGTCTGGGAGCTGACATTGCCTGTAAAAACTGAGGTGAAAAAGGCTCAGCACTTCAGCCTTTTCTGCATCCCCTGTCATTAAGTTGCCTCCCCCATTCAGTAATGGACCTACACTTTCCCTGATCCTTGTCTTGTTACTGATATACTTGTAGAACCTTTGTTACCCTTCATGTCCCTTGCTAGCTGCAACTCCAAGTGCATTTTAGAGTTTCTGTCTGCGTAGATTAGTGTTTAATATGAATGCATTTTTATATTTTTATAGGACAGCTGGGATTGTGTAATGTGGTAATAATTAAGGTTAGGCTGGCATAAAAATGAGCGACTGCCATCTTATGGTAGGATATCTAATAATTGTCACTTTGATTTCTCTCAGGAATGAGTTGTGTTAATTTGGCCTGTTGTTGGTAAAAAGGATGCCAACCCCCTGTTCATTAAATAAAAAGGAAACAAGAAAAAAAACAAACTTACAGAATCTTTTCCAGGCCGTTTTTTGGGAGGAGATTTATGCTTTGATTCAGATCTTTGTCTACTTCTATCCTTTTCATTCTCTCTCTCCCCTTTCCTGTCTTTTTCTCGTTCAGCATCTGATTCTGGTGAATCCTGTGTAATAAGTAAGCAAACATAAAAAGTTAGTTTCAACATATGCATTGTATTTACTATATAAGATATACAGAACATTATTATAGACCTGCAATACCATTATAGGCTACATAAGGAATCAGGCTCTTTTGAATTGGTTCACTTTTAAACTAAACTAGCCACACAGCATAAACATGGCACAAGAAAAGTAATGTATAAATACATACAAAAATGTTTTAAAAGGAAAACATGTTTACTACACCTTTAATACAGCAAAAAATAAAAGGAGTACAGAAGAACTTGTCCTACTTTTGTTTTCTAATCAATGTACACAGAACTGGGTTGTAATAGTTGTTTCTTCCTTATTACCTATATTAACCAAGTCATCCATCCCATACAGCATTTAGAGAAGGCTGAAGGTGTTTCCTATTATAACTAATGGCAGAAAAAAAGAAATAATTTTATAACTGGATGGCGGAGGTCATGTCTAAAATGTTCTATGCTGCTGGGGTTTTGGTGGGATATCAAATTACATATTAGAGGACTAAGATCTTGGACAGCCATCTTATTTAAACTGAAATAAACATAACTGGGATCACAAAGTGAAGCCTAAGTGGTTTGACGGTTTCTCAAACAACAGGGCTGTAGGTCAGAAATCTCTCTTAAATTGTGTGTAAATTTGAGTTCAGTATCCATGCATGCCCAGTCTCAAGAGTGCAGCTAAACGCGATTTACCAAAACACAGAAATACCTTGCGTTTTGTAGCAGCATCATAAGCCATAGCATCTCACAAAGTGGGCTGTCCCCTTGCAAAAGCCTGTGCCTTTCTGAACAAGTTAGTCTCCAAGGTTTACTCTGCCCTGCTGCTTCCTACATAATTTACTAGTAAACCCAAACTACTTTCTTTTTCCCCATGAACAACATATTCATTAGTCTTGCAATGTTCACAAAAGCAAAGACAACAGCCAGGCTGTCCTTCCCTGGATGTTATTCAGGTTCTTTTACTGCTCCACTCAACATGGTATCAGAGCTCCCAAAACAGCTGTGGCATATGGTTAAGCACATGGGCATGAATTAAAAGCAAAGAGACCTCCTGTCCTTACCTACTCTTACCTGTACCACAGTAACAGCAAGTGTCTGCTACAACATCTTAAGAAAATGGACCCCTAAAAACTTTTCACGAACAAGTCTTTAGAATGTGTAAGTTGAGCACTCATAGATGATTTACTTTGAAGCACATGGAATTGGACATTATTATAAAGTACCCGCACTCCTTATCTGTCTGGTTTTACACAGCAACAAAAAAGCTGCTCTGATTTCAAGTACAAAGGCTCAGCACACAGCAAGAGCAGTTGAACTGTTCAGTGACCAGCAATAAAATAGCATCTATACTTACAGACTTGTGTCTTCTCTTTTTGCTTTTCTTCTTGTGTTTTTTTGTTTTCTTATAACTTCTCTCTACAATACATGGAAAAGCAAAGTAATATCAATTACAAACCAAGACCAAGCAACGAAGTGACAAGCTTAATTTAAAGCAGAAGGGGAACAACCCTTACCAGATTCTACACTGGAAGAACGCTCAGAAACAGACCTAGATTCTGAACGCTGCCTCTTCTTTTTTGAATGGTTATCATCATCTTCAGACTCGGAGCCCTTTAAACAGAAGACCGAGTTCAGCATGATCCTAGTGGGGTATGTGCTGTAAGAGTCATTTTTGCATAGTTTTCTAGAAAAAAGGCTTACCGAACGGGAGCGCGATCGCTTTCGGTGATGTTTTTTAGATTTTTTAGAATGTTTCTTGTTCTTTGAATGATGATGCTGACACTCATGCTAAAACATAAAAGAATCCACAGGTATAACAGGTGTAAGGAACACAATTAAAGATGACTAGTCTCTCAACACTAGTTTAAAGGCAGGTTTGCAGACATATATGCACATTCATTTGCAATTTCATTTTTAAAACAAGATGACATCTAAAATGTGTATAGTATGCAAGTTGCATTAAAAAAAAAATAAAGAGCTATCAATGGAGAAGTGTTTGAGGTGTAATATGAAGTCAGAAGTCACACTGCATCCACTAGAGCAGAAGTTCCCAAACTTTTTCTTACTGCAACCCCCTTCCGGATTTACCAGCTGCCAGCATACCCCTAAGCAGCACGTTTTATATTTTAACCCCTCAAATGCCAATTATTGTTATAACGACAACAATATAATACACCATTACACAATTTCTCCCACATACCTCTGAAAGATATCTTGCATACCCCAAACAGGGGTGTGCATACCAGTCTGGGACCTGTGTACTATGGCATGAGGCTAACAGTTTGAAGCTTTCCATTATGTAGGCTTTGCCTTCAATTTCTTTTTAAACATTCTTAATTTACAAGCCCCTCATCAAAATTGACCCAGTACATACTGCTTATTCTCTAATAAGACCTATTTTCATACCAAGTTTGAGGACATAAAATTCTGATTTTTTTTCAAATTTTAACACACACCAACACAATGGAATTAAAAGAAAAACAAAACAGAAGAACTTATGTTTGCATAAAAATAGATCTTCTGACTCCTGTTTGTCAAAGCTATTAGTACACCTGCTGATATTTACAGCCACCAGCGCTAAGAAACATAATGGGCTGGATAATATTTCTTCTTGCATATCAGAATCATTCACAAGATCAATTCTGATCATGTATGCTTATCCAGCCGCTTTGAAGACCAGTGTTGCCAAGGCCAAATTTTGGCTTGCAGTACATTCGTGGCATGACAATACACAGACGTGGAAGAACCCTCAAATGCAGAGCTGAATTTCCAATTCAGAAAAAATGCAACTACTTTTACTTGTGATCTGAGCATGGTATATAGGAAAATGTTAGAGAGAAACACCAAACTCCATGGAATAATTATTTAGAGTATAATTATGGTTTTTATAACTAAAATTTCTTAAAGAATTTAAAACAAGGGAAACACTCTGCCCCCAAGATAGCTATTTATGGACGTTTTGAGTGAAAAGAGGATAACTGAAATGCAATCATATTAAAAACAATACACACATGAAATAGTAGTTTAACTATAATACTCTTCAATTTTTTAAGTCCAGGTTTTAATATTTCTGTCATAAAGTAAGGCAGTTCAATACAATTTTAGAAATATATTTTCCATGCCAAATTACCAAGTCATTCAATTGTTAGTAAGAAATTGTTACCAAAAAATGATGTGGAGATAAAGATTGATAGTTACCTCTAATATGTGCATAAAGTCTTTAAATATTCTTTTTCTTTCAGATTCTAAAGTAATGTCTTCAAATGCTGGTTCCTTCACAAATCGGTCCCTGATCTACACAACAAGAAGGAACACAAGATGAAGTATTAATATTAGAAATGAATGAATCAAAAAAGACAGTCGAGCTCTTAAGCATTACAGACCTGATTTCATAAATAAAATATATATTATAGTGGTCCATGGTCACCCCATCAGGTTCACTGTGTTCAAATTGTTTAGCACTTTGAATCATCCATATTTTTATACCTATGGTTTTGACATTCAATTTCTTTCTGTATAGCCCACTTGTTCTATATATTTGCCAAAGCATGCAACTTATATGAAATATGATTTGAGATGGGAAAATTTTAAAAATATCTATCCTTATATAAAACACAACTTTAACAATTCAACGTTGCTACAGTTAAATAGGTAGTTCCCTGTCCCCTATTTAACCACCAAAAAACCAAACCATTTAATTTCCCATAGTAAATACATTTCCCCTGCGTTTTCTTCGTTGTGTGTCAGGGTGTGTGAAACAGCATCTCTTTTCCTTTTAGTCCAGTGTTAACAGACAACACAAGTTTCCACTTGTGAAACACTTTTTTGGTTTGAAACACTTAACAGAAGATTGAGACAGGGATTCACATGGGAAGAAAAGCATAATCCCTCTTCTAAAAAAAGACCAATGATAGATCAATGACTGGAAGTGTGGTTCAATGGGAAATGGAGGAAAAAAAACATGACAATGAATTGAATTGAGGAAAACCAGAGTGCCATATTGTTGCAATGGTTCTCAAAACTGAATTAGCCAGTGGATGCTTGTGTTCTTATGAAAGAAGGGTGTTGGGAGGGGAGTTTTTATTACTTAGAAAAAATCTAAACTGAAATATGTTTCAGTCAGAAATATCAAAACAGAGGATGGTGAACAATCAGCAGTTGTAAGCAAGTAGTTCCAATGTAACAGGAATGAAGCACTTTTGGTTAAGTGTTTATGTCCCATATTATATGTGTAGAAAACTATAACTTTTCTAAAATAATCATTTTGAAGTAGTACTGAAATGTAAACTGAGGCCAATTCTACTGACATTAATTTGGGAATGACAAAGATATTTTAATGTGTAAAGTTAAATGTAAAGGGAAAACACTAAATCAGAGACTACAAAATTTGCCACCTATAAAAAGTTAGCATTAAAAAAATCCAACAGTTAAGGTTTTCTGAGCGTTTTAAAATGGCAGAATACATACATCTTCCCAAACAGCATCCAACTCAATCGGGGGTGCAGCTTGTTTCAACATACTCTTGAATGCAGACTCCTTCCGCTTCATCTTCCGAGCCTCCTCTTTTTCCCTTTCACGTTCACGGGCTTCTGCCTTTTCCAGGAGCTAAGGCAAATTAAAATGAAATCATTCAAGTGACAATGACATTGAAATAAGAATGATCAGTCGGCTATGTGCTCCTTTGACGTAAAGCCTACAGAGATACTTCAGCTCTAGCATTTTCTAGCATTAAGTGTTTGTGTCTATTTAAATCATCTATCCAATTATTTATGCTTAAAACCATTATTTGTTCTGTTCTCAAAAATCTCAAAAGCAGTTAATGTCTAACAATTCAGAATGATAGTAACAGCATGCAATATTTACTAGTAGGAAGCATCAACTTACAGTGTGAAGACATTGCTGAATTCTTAACACAGGGCTCAACTTATTTCAAGGATGGATATTTAAGTTTTGAACAAAAGTCTGCCTTTACAGTTTGTAGTTTAGAAACCGTTAATGTCAAGAAAGACATCAAGTAGGAACATGTATTTTATGATTAAAATTACCAGTCATAAGACACCCAAAAAGATACAGTAAAAAGACATTCTAATATTGCAAAAGCCTAAGTCTGTCTGTCCGTAATGCTTTATTCACACACTGATTGGCTGTTTGCGAACAAGCATTCAAACAGGATTTGGCAGCGGTGGAGCACTGCTATGATGGTAGGGACACAGGGGACAGAGGGGGGAGGCGGGGGGCAATGGAGCAGACGGAACAGTGGGTGACTGCCCTGCTCCTTGCATTTGGCGGGGGGGCGGCGCGTGCGCGGCGGGCGCGTGTGGCGGCAAGGAAACCAGGGCTGGCCTTGCCCCCACCCCTTTACTCCTTGCAGGTGATGCCGGAAGTGGGGTGACAGCAGAGGCAATGTGGGGGGCTGAGACAACTGGTGCCGGCCTCAGCCTGCCTCTCCCCACTTCTGTTGTCGCCGCCTGCAGGGCCTGATGTGGGATGACATGATGGGGAGGGGGGGGAATGGGCCTGGACCCCAAGCAGCAGGAGGGAAGGTGGGGGGAACAGGCCCAGACAGTGTGGAAGAGGGGGCATGGGGCTCCATACCCACCCGCTCCCCCCAAAATCATTCTTGATGGGCAACAGGCTAGTTTCACTTATAAAACAATTTTATTATGTCAAAAACACGGGATGTCACAACTTACACTATTGAAAGCCAGTTTGATATTGCCTGCATCTAAGGTTGTAGCTCTTTTAGTTGAACTGATGACTGCAACAAAGTCTTCAAAAGTTGTATTCACTTCAACTATAAATCCTTTATCCTGCAAGAGAACAACCTCTTTGATACCACGTATGTCAGAACCCCTACATCAGCACCAACACACATCAGGGTTTCTAGTTACGCTAACACAATTCCAAGCAAAGAGTTCCATCATCAGTTGAATTAATTTGAATAATGTTGTGAAAACATACGGGACATTTTCCTCACCTTTAAGATGTCTTTTATTATCTTCTTTTCATCATGGTAGCGTGCTTTCAAATCTTCAACATAAAATTTGAAAAGATCAAGTGCAGTTGATCCTAACAAAAACAAGGCAAGTCAAAAGGTAGCTCTAACAGAAAAGATGCACTTTTTAAAATTTAGAAAATACACAATTATCTCAGCTCTATTTTAATATTATAAAAACCTACGCCTGTCTGTCCGTAATGCTTTATTCGCGCTCTGACTGGCTGACGGAAACAGCCAATCAGAGTGCTCCAAGTGTGGGGGAGCGCTGGTATGACTCCAAAACCACGCTAAGGACTGGACAGGGGGGTGGGGGAAGCTGAGGCCAGCAAGAGGCAGAACAGAGGCAGCATGGGGCGTTAGGTGGCAGCACTCCATCCCAGCCCCCTCCCCTCTGCCCCGCATCATTCTTGGTGGGCAATTGACTAGTTATATAATGCCTACATAACTTCCTCTTCCAACTCCGTAGGAAATAATCTTACCAGGTTGGCCAAGCATATTAGTGAATCTGATATCAGAGCTTATGGTTGGATACAACTCCATCCAAGAAGACATTGAATGCAACTGCCCATGTTCATGCAATTCATCCAAAAATATCTGCAAAATGAGTGAAAGTGGATGGTGATATTCACATATTTGAAGAGGCTTTGTGCATACTTGATTTTATAAAGATTTGAACGCTGCCAATTTAAACTTGTCTTTTTAAAACATGATTTACAAGTTTCAGACACTGCATCTAGCCTGTTTTCCCAAGTCAGTTATAATGTTCTAAATTCCTTTCCACACATTAAAAACAAATCATCCCCTTTGTAGCTATTGGGGAAACTGACTTACCCCACATTAAACATGAAAATCTATTAATAAAATTCTCTCAAAATTAAAAAAAGAATAATGTGTCTCATAAATATTTGTGTGCTAACTAAAACAGAAGCAAAGAGGGGAAGGATTCAGAAATAAGCTTGATATAAGCTGACAGTTACAATAAAGAACAGGGTAAGACAATTTACCCTCCCTTCAACACCTTTAGTGCTCCTCACATTTGTAAAAAAACAGGACAATATTTTTATTAGCAAGACTGAGATCATACGTAAACAAATAATCCTTAAAAAAAGTTAGCACTGCCAACGAAGGAGTATTTATCTGCCCCCCAAATACATTTAAGTGATTTCAACTGGCAAACAACGCCTTGATACCAAAGAAAATCCCTAATCATCATCATGTCTATTAAAAACTATTTCTAATGCACAAATTATTTTTATTTCAACTGGAGCTATTTTTTAAAACAAAATATTTATTCCTTAAAATAATTTTCCTTGGAACATATATTTTGAAGGCCATTCATTTTTAGAAAAGAAAACAATACAATACAAAAAGGTTATTAGTTTATGAAGAGGCTGGCATTTTAGTACTCTCAAACTTCCAGAAGCTAGGAAAAATCCTACATTCTGAATCAAACCACAGAAGTCAAGTCAAAGTATGCATTCAAATATAAATGCCTCAGGGTAATAAGGAAATCCAAATGAAAAGCTTATTAAGTACTTGGCCACACAAGACAACTTTCTATACAGGCAGTCCTCAACTTACAACGTTTCGAGTTGCAAAGTTTCACACTTACAATGTTTATAAATTGACACCCTGTTTCAACTTTATGACATCAGTTTCGACTTACAACACTTGATCTGATGCAACACCACACCAGCGAACAAGTTCGCTGCGTCACTCATCTCCCTGGAGAACATCTGTCCAAGCTTCCTTGGACCCTTTCTTTAAGAAAACAGACAAGAGTCCAGAAAAACCTGCAGCCAAGACTCCTGAGAAGACTCCAGCCAAGAGCCCCTCAAAAAGTCCAGCAAAGTCACCTCAAAGAAGTCCTTCCAAATCAATATGATTCCTATTTACAATATAAATACATTAATGTAGCTATATTACTCATCTATAATTGATCGAGTACAAAATTCTGGGGTATTTTTGGTGAAAATAGAGTATCAGGCCTTGGTTCAGGAACAATCCCCCATTTATAACATTGTTTCTTATGAGAAAATTGGTTCCGAGTTACAGCGTTTCAACTTAAGACACAGTTTTCAGGAACCAATTGTATCGCAAGTCTGAAGACTGCCTGTACTTAGGTTATTAGCAGTATCATCCATTACCAATGATAAAAGAGTTGGTCCTTGATTTTCTTAAACATCTGTGCGCATGAAAATGTACTGATTTAAATGACTTCCTTTTCATAAAAATACATCTACCAGGTTTTCTTTTTAAAACAGGGCATGCTCACTGAAAGGACAAGAGAAAAAAGCCTCAACCTCTTTTGAACAATTTGTGGACTAACACACTAGCTCCATTTTGTCTGACGTGTTCTAACAAACTGTACAATGAATCCAATAATCTTTTAAGCACTGCCAACAGTATGAATGAGGCTTTAAGCTACATTATGGGTAAAGGAAAGAGACTGAAAAAACCTCACAACCCAGTTTTGCTAAATTATAAGTCCAAATACTTAGAAAATTAAAAAAAAAATCCAAATACATATCCATAAAATACTTAAGAAGTCTTTTAGCCCACAGTAAATCTTAAAACCTCATATAAGCAGAATGTTGTGCTTACTACAGAAACAAATTAAGCTTATCCCATTTTGAACTAGAAATTAAATTATAGTCTCAACAGCAATCGTCATTACTAACAGGCATCTTTGCTGGGTGTGGTGTTTTATAGGACAAAATACGGTTATCTATCAAAGAGGAACTTGCAATAGGAAAGCATAATCTTGTGGACACATTTTATTAAAGTAATTTAATTCATGCAAAAGGCCCACTGATTGTCCTTGATTCATTTTTAGGTGTATTAAACAACCAAAGTGATGGATCAAGTTGGGGAAGAGTTAAGCAATGCGTCTAGGCTAAGTAACATGATTACAGAAGAGAAAGCAGGCACCAGATCCTGCCCAGGGAAGGTATGTGATTCAGCTGCCTGTGCCTCTGGTTTGCTGGAGTGTTTGCTCGGTGGGCCATGTCCATTTGGGTGCTCTGAGAAGCTGAGAGTGATTGCTGACTGGAGAGTGATTGATGACTGGGCCTAACAGAAGCCCTAACAAGGGAGAAGAGCTAGTCCAGGCCCAGCAGGACATAAAAGGAGACTCCCCAGGGAAACTGAGCCAGTGACCAGCAGCTGTAATCAGTTTGCAGGCAGTTCACTAGCCAGTTCTGAGGCCAGTTCATGGGTCCCCCGCCCCGCCCTTTTTTTTTTTAAATTGAGAGATAAGTCTTTCTGCTCGGCACAAGGAAGCGGGGGGAAAATGGGAACCCTTTGTGGCCAACAAAAAATAAACAGGCCAGTTCCAGGTGGGCTCACTAGGGAAGGTCTCCTTGGAAGAAGAGCAGTAAGAGAGAAAGCAGATTAAGAGACCCAGGGAAATGGCTGGGGGGCATCTGCTTGCACCTGTGAGGTTTTTGTCCAGGTAGGACCACTCACCATAGACACTTCCACCCAGGTCCAAGTTTCATGCTATGGGGACTGCAACTTGCAGGCTCCTTTCACTGATGGCCAGGTCAGGGAGTGCCTGGGGTATGAGTGGTGCCTCTCAGGGAAATGACAAGCAAACTAAAGGAGGTGGCGAGGCTCCAAAGCATCCTCTGCCATTAGGCATTCATGGATTTGATAGTGGAGGAGACCTCTGGGATTGTGGAGGAAGAAATGCCAGATGCAACACTAGAGAACAGAGAGGGCATGGACACACAAGAGGGTGGAAGCTGGAGGCTTATGACTTCTGGCAGCAAGTAGGCATTCATGGATTTGATAGTGGAGGAGACCTCTGGGATTGTGGAGGAAGAAATGCCAGATGCAACACTAGAGAACAGAGAGGGCATGGACACACAAGAGGGTGGAAGCTGGAGGCTTATGACTTCTGGCAGCAAGCCAAGATCTTCACCTCCACCTGCAGTCGTTCATCTGGAGAACAGATATGCAGCCCTAGCATCAGAGAGGTAGGAACATGTTCCATTGGTGGAAGAAAACAGGCCAGGGCCTCACCAAAGTGGGACCATCACCAAAAAGAAACAACAGGTGGTGGTGGTTGGAGACTCCCTTCTGTAGGGGACAGAGGGAGCCAAGTGCCGACCTGACCTGTTGTCTTGGGAGGTCTGCTGCTTGCCTGGACCCTGGATCCAAGATGTCATGGACAGACTACTGAGGCTCATCTGGCCCTCTACTACCTTATACTGCTCATCCATGTGGGCACCAATGATACTGCCAGGGGAGACCGAGTGTATCAACAGTGACTATAGGGCTCTGGGTGCAAGGGTGAGGGGGTCTGGGGCTCAGGTTGTGTTCTCATCAATCATTTTGGTCAAGGGAAAGGGCCCAAGCAGGACAGGTGCATTCTGCAGATCAACACCTGGCTGTGCAGGTGGTGTCGCCACAGGGCTTGGCTTCTTCCATCACAGGATGTTGTTTCAAGGATTGCTAGGAAGAGATGGGATCCACCTGATGGGGTGAAGAGAGGGAAGAGAGTCTTTGCAGACAGGCTTGCTAACATAATGAGAAGGACTTTAAACTAGGTTTGCCAGGGGATGGAGACCAAAGCCCTGAGGTAAGTGGGGAAGCGGGGAAGCAACCTTGTGACAGAGGATGCAGAAAAGGCTGAAGTAGTCGATACCATTTTTTGCCTCCTCTTCACAGGCGAGGTCAGCTCCCAGGCTACTGCAACAGGCAGGACAGTTTGGGAAGGAAGTGAGCAGCCCTCAGTGGTGAAAGAACAGGTTAGGGACTACTTAGAAAACCTGGGCGCATACAAGTCCATGGGGCCGGATGGGATGCACCTGAGGGTCCTGAAGAAATTAGCTGATGTGATTGCAGAGCCATTGCCTATTATGCTTGAAAACTCATGACCATCAGAAGAGATCCCAGATGATTGGAAAAGGACAAACAGTGCCCATATTTAAGAAAGGGAACAAGGAGGACCCAAGGAACTACAGACCAGTCAGCCTCACCTCAGTCCCTGGAAAAAAAAAAAAAATCACAGAGCAGATCCTCAAGGAACCCATTTCTAAGCACTTCAAGGAGAAAAAGGTGATTAGGAACAGTCAGCATGGATTCACCAGGGGCAAGTCATGTCTGACCAACCTGATTGCCTTCTATGATGAGGTGACTGGCTCTGTGGACGTGGGGAGCCTGGCAGATGCAGTGTACCTTGATTTTAGGAAGGCTTTTTATACCGTCTCCCACAGCAATCTCGCAGGCAAGCTAAGGAAGTATGGGCTGGATGAATGGACTGTAAGGCGGATAGAAAACTGGCTGGAGCATTGGGCTCAGAGAGTAGTAATCAATAGCTCGATGTCTAGTTGGCAGCCGGTATCAAGTGAGGTGCCCTAGGGGTTGGTCCTGGGGCCAGTTTTGTTCAATGTTTTCACTGACAACTTGAAAGACGGTATAGAGTGCACCCTCAGCAAGTCTGCAGATGACACCAAGCTGGGGGATGTATTAGATACGCTGGAGGGTAGTGTTAGGATTCAGAGCGACTTAGACAAATTGAAGGATTGGGCCAAAAGAAATCTCGTGACGTTCAACAAGGACAAGCACAAAGTCCTGCACTTAGGACAGAACAATCCCATGCATCAATACAGGCTGGGAGCCAGAGGCGATGCGTAGGGGGTGGACGTGCACCCCCTGCCAGGCCATGATCCCTGTTTAGCCGGCAGGCAGGGGGGCAGGCGGAAGCACCAGTGCCCCCTCTGCAAGTGCTGGTCGAGGAGCAGGGCCACCAGCAAAAGCAGGCATGGAGCTCCGGAAGCAGCGTGGCTGCTTTTACGGCGAGTAAGTTTGACGTTGCTGCGGCCTGCAGGATCAGCCGCTGGGGGACCCCCCACCGGTTGCTGACTCAAGAGGCACCAGACACCCATGCTGGGGGCTGACTGGCTGGGATGCAGCTCTGCAGAAGAGGACCAGGGCATTACAGAGGACAATAAGCTGAAAATGTGCCAGCAGCGTGCCCTTGTTGCCAAGAAGGCTAACAGCATACTGGTCTGCATTAGTAGGTGTGCTGCCGCTAGGTCAAGGGAAGTGATTCTTCCCCTCTGTTCAGCACTGGTGAAGCCACATTTGGAGTACTGTGTTCAGTTTTGGGCACTCCACTACAGAAAGGATGTGGACAAATTGGAGAGTCCAGCAGAGGGCAACAAAAATGAGGAGGCGGCTGAGGGGAGGGAGGAGGGATGGGATTTAATAGTAGCCTTCAATTACCTGAAGTGGGATTCGAAAGAGGATAGAGCTAAACTGTTCTCAGTGGTGGCAGATGACAGAAGAAGGAGCTACGGTCTCAAGTTGCAGCAAAGAAAATTTAGGTTAGATATTAGGAAGAATTTTCCTACTAGGAGGGTAGTAAAACACTGGAACAGGTTACCCAGAGAAGTGGTAGAAGATCCATCCTTGAAGGCTTTCAAAACCCAAAAAAGCTGTGGCTGGGATCATCTAGTTCGGGCTGGTCCTCCTTTAAGCAGGGGGTTGGACTAGATGACCTCCTTAGGTCCCTTCCAACCCTAACTTTGTGATTCTACGAAAGAACCACATCATAGCCAAAAGTTTAAACCAGTTTTTAAAACAAAAATATAATCCTGGTTCTGAAGCCTGAGATTAAACAAACTGACCTTGCTTATGCATTCTTTCTGTCCAGTGCCTCTTCCGTAGAAGTGTAACCAAGCTCTTAGTATCCACAAAAGGTCAAACTATTTACGAGAATCATAGCCAAAGTATTCTGATTTACCTTCTGCTTATTAGCATATTATTGATCATCTAGGATATGTAGTGACCACATTCTAAGACAGCTTTAAAGTGTCCAAAATATCTGAACCTGTTAGCTTCCCAAGTTAAAAGATTTTTATCCACCTGAAAAGATTCTCTATTTTTACGCTGTCGGCGCCTTTCCCTCAGCAAACTCTTTTGTTTTTCTTCTTCCTCCTCTTTCTCCAGAGCCCTGATGTGTTCTTCAAAACAGATGAGAGCGTCTTCTTTATCCATATCTAGAAATCATACAGGGAGTTTGAAATCAAAATATTTCTTACTTGACTGTTTCTATTTGCAGCTCCTCTCTCCTCAGTCATAATTAATTTTATAATGGTAAAGGACATTACTCAATAGCAGTAAATAAGGAGAAGAAAAACAGTGCAGTAAAATAGGTCTCACACTACTGAATCCTAGTCAAGGAAAAGCAAACTTCTCTAAAGAAGTTTGTAGGTGGGAAGAAGGGCCCTTGTGTTACCCCCTCCCCCCATGCCCAAACTTATCTATTAGCTATGGGAAAAAGCACAGGAGGCACGTGTCAAATTCATGGAGTCATGCTCTGTTCTTGGACAACATGAACCAAATCGGTCTTTGTAGGGAACCAAGGTGTGCTTCTATCAGAGAGAATGAGTTCCTTTCTAACTTTAAATTCTGTCTACGCTAGAGTTTGAGAACTGAGGCACAGACCACACCTTCTTGATAGGGATGATAGACATTTGAGGATCTTTATGGGGGTGAGGGACAGAAAGTGGCTGCTGCACTTGATACTCACTGTAAAACATTGCTCCAAATCCCAGAGCCTAGCTGGCACAAGGGCGATTCAGTCTCCATGACAAGGCAATTGCTTGCCTCACTATTAAGATTATAAAGAAGATTATCAATATTTTTTTCTAAAGCTAAGGGGTGTGGTGGCAAAATGGTTATGACATCTCACTATGGCTCTGGAAGCAAGAGTTTAAGCCCTGTTCTGGACTGATGTCAAAGGCCATCCCTGGCTGATCCAGCTCTAAAAGGGTACAGCATCATTTGGGCTGTGGAATCAAAGATGGCCAGAGTGCTAGCATCACTTCCTTCTGTACCATTAGTTAAGAAAATTGTGCATTTTAACTACAGTAGCCCAATGAGCTGTTGGGGCTTGAATATACCTCCCTTCCTCTTGTGGAGCTAAGGGCTGAACAGAGCAGATCGTTTTACAAGGTTGCTTAACAGCTGTTCCAATTAGCTGCCGCTGACCTGGGCAAGACAAACCATGTTCAACTATCTGGAATAATTAACATTAAACCAGTTTCATGCCCTCTTCTTGAAGAGATTTCTGAACATTATTTTCTTACTCTGAAGTTCCTCATCTTCTGCGAATGTAGGGTTGTCCATCAGATACTGCTGAGCCTCTGACCAAGTGGTACAATAAGTTACATTAGCCATGTTATCCAATATATTTTTTAGAGCCTCCCAATTCCTTTTTCGCAACTGCTTGGCTTGTTCCTAAAAAGAGAAACAGTCAAGAGCAAAAAAATCAAATTTTTAATCAATTTTTCTTAATACCTTATCGTGGAAGAACAAAAGCCAAACTATATCCAAAGAAGATGACAGCATTCTAGACATACTTGTATAAAAAAGCTAATTTCACTTTATTAAATAAAATGACTGGTTGAATCCACAGTCATGTAATCTTTTATTGATCTTGTCTCATCTTTCTGGTCAATTCCATAAAACCCCTTATTTTAATCAAGTATTACCAATGAGTAACTGTTCATTTTTAAGACAGTAAAACACCTGTGCTGTGCTGATGCTATGGCCTACTCAGATGTTGGAGGAGCTGTTTTGCCTAGCAGATCTAAAAAGTTGGTTCTAGTGTTTACAAATAATAAATCATCTAACAAACATTAGAAAACCCCAAAACTTTGAAGTCATCCATTACTTTTGTCTTGAAACATACCTTTCTACATATCCCAACATACCTTACATTTTTAAGTGGATTCACTGTTTCACACTAGCTGGAAAAATATTGTGCAATGTTACTACACAAAATTGAGCAGCTCCTATAGTCCAGAGGTTAACAAATGATCCCTATTATACACAGAGCCAGATCTTCATTTGGTTAAATCATAGTTCTGCTTGAAGTCAAGGGAAATATGACAATTTATACCAATTAAGGACCTGGGCCAAGATTTGTTTTAATATGTGGTTCAGATCAATATTGGTTAGAAGTACTTTGGAACAGAAACTAATTTATAAATTAAGTTATATCCACATTAAAAGACTGAGTCGGATTTTCTTAGTGAAACAAGACATTAATAATCCTACAATCACCAGGGCTAGTTCAATGAAAAAGGAAAAAGGGCAGTAGTAAGTGGGATTTTTTAAGTCTTACTAATTCAAAACAAACCTAAAATCACTTAAAAATTCTTTACTTTCTAGAGCAAGTTTAAATTGGTTTTCTTTCAGAGCGAGCATAAAAAGTAACGAAGAAAAGAAGTTACCTTCTCTTTCTTAGATAAGAAGAACAACACATCTTCATAAATTTCGAGACGATCACGCTCTGATATTGCATTCCAAACCTCCATCTCTCCAAACATTTGTTCAGCTTTTCTGTTTAAAGGAAATAAGAAGTCACATATAATCATTCTGTCAAACATCAATTTAACCATCACTTTGACTGACTACAAATATAAGTGATCTGGATCACAATCAACTACTTTTCTGGTGTACAGATTACAGATACAAAATTTGTAAGGTGCATCTCTTTGGTCAACTGATGCACATTACTACAAAAAAAAATTATTAGTTTTTGTTACTTACCTGTAGAGTGAACAAGAATATAAAAAAATATAGCTTCCAATAGCTTAAATAAGGTTATATATCATAGGAAATTCAGAAAGAGTGCTACCCATACTCCATGAGAATGATATGAAACCACACTACGCGGTGGGATGTAAATGACAGTAAGAAAAACTAGGGCTGTGTTTTGATTTGGTTTCGGATTTAGCCGTTTCGGAGGACAGCGATTCGCTTTGGCATTTCGGATCACTGTCCTGTTTTGTTTCGGCTGAATCTCCTGTGAATCTGTTTTAAACAGGCTGCAAGGGAAGCTTCACACAGCCCTATCTAGCTGGGCAGGACTTCTGGCTGGGGGCTTGGGGCCCCAACAGGGAGCAGGATGGGGCCATGGGTGACTCGTCCGGTGGACGGAGGGCTGCTGCCCTCCATGCAGGTGAGGAGACGCCCACACAGCTCTCTGATCCCTGTCACGGCGGGTCGCGGGGCAGGGAAGCAGCGCAGAATGGCGAGCAAGCCTGCTGGTCCCTGCTGTGTGACCTGGCTCTGCAGGGAGTAGAGATCCGGGGCTGCACGTGACGGGCAGCAGCAGGGAGGAGACCCTGGTGTGGATCTCTGCTGCCTGCAGAGCCAGGTCATGCAGCAGGGCTTCTCCAGCCCCCAGATCAATTCCCCAGCCCTAGGCCCGAAGCAGCAGCCTGCTGAAACCCCGCATGCAGATCCCGTGCCCCCCCGGAAGAGCTGGGGGAAGTGATCAAAGAGAGAGATGTCAATATCAGAGCAGTCCTTCCCAGACTTTCTCCTCCCTCTTCTTAGGTTTTTATTCGCTGTAAGCCCAGCTCCGAAACTCCAACTTCTCCAAAACATTTCAAAAATATTTCAGAGCCTTCAAATTCATTTCGAAGCCTTTCGTTTTGATTCAGATTTAGTGTTTCGGGCATTCCAAAACGAAATGGCTGCCAAAATTTCGCACAGCCCTAAAAACTATACTAGTGGCTTGTAGATGTGGCATTTGCTCCAAAATGGTCTGCTAGCCATTATGGCTTGATCCAGGGACCTCAACTTAGGCCTCCATATGTGGACTTTATACTTGTACTATGGGACTTGCATTAGCTCCCAGTTGCTGCAGGGGAAGTTTAATTAGACCTAAGCAGTTTGGATTCTGACTGTGTTAACTGCATCTTCCTCTCATATGTGATAACTTTGAAAGCTCCTTCAACAGAAGTCTAAAACAAAGCAAGGGTGATTGCGCCCAAAAGCTTGCTAAGAACTTTTTTCCAACTACTCAGTTTAATAAAATATATCACATCTACTCACAGAACCGTGCCTGCCTATGTCCTTAGATCAATACGGCTACAACTAAAAACCCACCAATATTTGCATACAGATGAGGCACAGGGCAGCATCACCTCATAAAGGCGGGACCATGCTAATCATATGCACTATACTAAGAGAGGGGGCTACAGGGATTCTAGGTGAACTGTCTGGGGCCCCGGCTTCATGATGTGGACGGGTTGTACTCAACCTGGCGAGATGTGAGCAGTGGGGTACCCCAGGGCTCGGTCCTCGGGCCCACACTGTTTAACATCTCCATCAGCGACTTGGATGAGGGGATGGAAAGCATGCTGTCCAAATTTGCTGATGACAGTAAGATGTGGGGTGAGGCGGACACACTTGAAGGGAGAGAGAGGCTGCAACTAGATTTAGACAGACTACAGAAGTGGGCAGATGAGAATAGGATGGGGTTCAACGTAGACAAATGCAGGGCGCTGCACCTTGGGAGAAGAAATCCACAGCACACACACAGGCTGGGGAATTCCCCTCTTGAAAGCACAGAGGCGGAAAGGGATCTTGGAGTCATTATTGACTCCAAGAAAACATGAGCCGCCAATGCTCGACC